TGATTTTTCCATCATTTGACGACACTTTTCTCTCTCTACTCTTGCATCGTGTTGTGCAGCAAATGATGAAAGAGGAGGAAGTTGCCAAATAAGCGAAATGTGATATTTGGCGCAGATTTTCTTACATTTGCTTTACGTGCACTTTTGTACATTCTGAATATGATTCGCCTTTTAATACTCTGATGTGATGATTATTGGCGCCATTTATTCTGCTATTTTGTATTTATTTGTGGAAGTGGGTCAGCAAACAGTTGTTTTGATAAAGAAAGAGAGGGGAAAAAAAAGTAGAAGTTCATGTAATACAAAACACGTGAATTGTGAGATGAGAGATAGAATTGCAGAAATTTAGCATTTTTTTTCCTGGCCAGAAGAAGAGGAGGAGAAAGAGAAAAACAAGTGAGAAAATGAGAATCCTATTGCGAGCAGTGAAAGAAGACTATTCAGACATTCTAAGAAAGAGTTTTTCCCAATAGGTTGTGTTGAGGGTGTTTGAAGAAAGAAAAAATGTAGGTTAAATGTGGAATTGAATGAAAATCAATTTTTTCCCTTCTCGCGCAGACTTTCAAAACAAGACCAAAAGAAAAAAAAAACTATGAACTATAAAAGTTCTATTGTCGGACTGTTTATGAGTCACAGAGACACTTTGTCGCGTGAAATTGTTGTTTGTTGCTTTCCAGGAACACACTTTGATGGAATAGAAGTGTTTGTTTGTCTCGTTCAGGTGTGCGATTGCAATTTAATATATAAAATTGGAATGGTTTCAAGGACGATAAGTCAATGATTTTTCTTCTCCACGCTTTGAGAGATTTGTGTGGAATTTAATAGTGCATTATGTCTGCACAGCGAGTGTGGGTAAAAAAGTATAATCATTTGTGTAAATTAAAGAGTCTCTTTCCTCTCAACAATTGTCGGTTATATAAATTGGCATAGCAAGAGAATTGTTGGGAGTTTGTGTGGGTGGAAGAAAATCTCCTTCACTTCACTGCTTTGACTAGAAGGAAAAGTGTTTTAATCATATTCAAAAGTAATAATTCTTCAACATTCTTTTATTGTGGTTGGGTTTTTTATGGATCTTTAAGGGGGTGTTTTTAGTATTTGAAATTCCACCTCATTTTACGATATACACATTTATGCTTGAGAAGGTAGAGAATGTTTGAAAGTTCCATGACTGGCCTCTTAAGATAAGAGACGGGCTTCAGCCGAGACACTCTGGTTGAAATTGACTGTCGGACTTTTGAGAGAGTCTCAGATGATAGTTTTTCTTTAAGAGATTCGAAAACCGACGATTTTTCACATCATTTCACTGATTTAATAGCAGTTTATCTTCTCAATTCACTCTATATCTCAAAGTTACTTAATTCCTGTGCTTTGCACTTTCTTAAAGCCTCGCAGTTCGTAAGAAAAAATCAGAGTTTTGGGTGCTGTTTGTGGATTAAGGTATCACGTCGTTTTTCATGCTTCTATATGTGTGTTTTTTTCTGGGGATCTCTTACATTGAGACGAATATATGGAGAAATTGAGAGAAGTTGTAATCTTGAGCAATTGAATGGAATTGTGTATGAAAGGCGCGCGCGCGCGCTGTTTTGTGTCCACAAGGAGAGAGACGAGAGAGAGAGAAAGAAGAAGAAGGTATCAGGAAAAGATCGAATATTCAAATAAGCACTCTTGAAATTGATAAAACGTTTTTAACTGTAAAAGAAGGGCTTTTGTGTGCTGTTGTGTCGTGATGTTCATGAGAGAGGAAAGAGAGTGTCAAGCTTAAAGGCGGCGGGTCAATATCCGACCTTTGTGACGTCAAGACGTTGCAAGAAAAGGTGCATGAGCGATGAAGACGAGACTGTGTGTGAATAGTTCCAAAAGCACGGAAATTGCTTTAAAAGTTTCTCTCTCTCTCTTCATTTTCTGCTTCTCTTCTCTTGTTAAACTAGAAATTTCTGACACTTTTGTATTTATTTTCGCAACACGAAACTTCCATCAAAGCTCGTCTTGTGATTAAATACACTTTATATTATATTTTGGGCGGCAAATATATTGCTTATACTATTGAGCTTCTTATATATTTAAAGAAAAATAATTGAGTAGACAATAATTGTAAATTTGGCTTCGCTGTGTGGTTTTTTTTTCTGCATTCCTCAGATCTTCAGACACGATCAGAGATTTCATTTATTATTCGATTATGTTCACAGTAGTTGGGAGTGTTGTTAATATGTGCAAAACGATAGATTCATGATGAGGTTGCGAGAGGGAAAAAGAGAGAGAGAAATTGGACAATATTTCACAGAATGTGCACAGACAAAATGAAGCAGAAAAGGAATATTTGTACATAAGACATGGGCAAAGAGAGGAGTGAAATGTGCGAGAGAGAGTGAAAATGTGAGGTGGGATTGCAACAAATGTTTAATTGCAAATTAATTTGCTTTCAATTGAAAACTCTCCTTGTATTGCACAATACAATATGAATATTTGAATGAAATATGTGATGTATTGAGGCAAATATTCACTCTCTCGCCTATTCGATGCTGATCTAATAAATTGTCTGCATATTGAGAGATTAATATCACTGTGAGATTGCTTTTGAGTGAGTTTTTGATGATGATTTCCTTGTGGAATTGGATGAAGTGTCTATCAAATTAGACGAGAAATGCAAAATCTTTCACTGATATTACATTAATAAGTCATCAATCATGCTGAAAAGTTCTGTGTTAAGCCGTAAAATGTGGCGATAGAACATAAATTTTGCATATGAAGATAGTATAATGAGGATGTGGACAGAGAAAAGACACGTCTGTTGAGGGCATTTGATTTATATGAATTTTCTGAGATAAACAATAGTCTGACTTCTTGACGCCACACAATTGCATTTTGATGCCCCAGGGTGTGTTATTCACGAGACATGCACTGTTCTGGACGATGAAGACGCGTGAGAAAAATCACAACATGAAGGCAAATAATTAATGTCCGATCGGCGATTCTTCTTCTTTGTCAAATGGATTCTGTGTATTGGAAATGATTCAGAGAATTCAATTATCACCCTTCTTAATCAGCTGCTCATTTGAAATTCAATAAAATACCGGCTAATTTGTATTTCTTGTCTCATGTTTCAGGTAAGAAATTCTTCTCTTCTGCACATTGAATTACCCAGAAAGGATGCGCAAGCGAGGAAAGAGGGAGAAATCAACTGGCTCTGCTCTGATGTGTGAGTTTATCATAGGAAAAAAGGGGCAGAAGAAGGATATTCTTTTTGCATCTCCTCCCACTCTCGATGGTGTGTGCAAAGAGAACAGGTTTCATGGCAAATTATGTGGGGTTATTTTTAGTAACCAGAGTTAGTGTGCACATCTTGTGAAATGCACACACAACACTCGTGAGCAAGATGGCTCAAAAGATGGATTTACAAAAGCTCCACTGAACTTGATTGACAAAGTCCTCATTATAAGTTGGGTCATGACAGTTTTCCCCGCTGTATGGAAAAAGAGCATTAACGTCTCTCTCTCCCTCTTTCTGTGGTAGAGTGCAAAGCGGCTGACATTGAAGGAAAGTAAAACCAGTTTTTGAAAAAGGGAAGAATTAAGAATAGTAACAGATGGAATGTCTTGAGATCTCAATTTTTTCCAACATCGACTGAGCGTCTCTTTTTCACCTCTTTTTCTTGCTTATAAGAGATTATGTTCTCATCTCAATTTCATGAAGAAGAAAAAAAGGGAGAAAGAGAGATAAAAAGAAGCTGTGATGAACGAAAAGGAGATTGTGAAGTGCGAGAATCGAAGAAGAACTCTCTAATTGAGACTATATATAAAGTATTCAATCTTCAACAGGGTAAAAATGTCCATATCAAATTGGGAATATTTTCCACGTGATGTCTTTTCACTTTAGTATTTTCCACTGACTATTTTATGACTTTAGATTTTTCTTGTAGTTTAATTATTAGTTCAGAATTTATGGCATTCCGGCAAACGTCAGTCAGAGACAGAGAATTGAGAATGATTAGTGAAATTCAGCATGAATTCTTTTGCTCTTCTTGCTCTGCATTCTTTTTTAAGAGTGATTTCTGAGAAATGTGGCAAATATAATGCAAAAACCTGCCCAAATTCTTGGTGGTAAACCAAGAGTGATTAATTGCGGGTGTCGTGATTTAAATGGTTTTTGCTAAAATATCAACTTTGATGGATTTTTCGGTGATCTTTGCTATCCTTCTTTCGAATAGAATATGAATATCATGAATTTTTTATCTGTGCAAAAAGATCACTAAATTCATTTTACCGTGGATTAATCGATCTATTGAGAGATTTTCCAAAGTCCAGAGAGAGAGAGAGAGAGAGAGACTCCGAAGGTGAAGAGGTAGCAAAGTTGCGCTTTGGGAGGCGAAAAGTTGTGTGCGACAAAGAGCAAAAACCGGATCAAGAAAAGAGTTTAACATGGATAGAGAGATGTGAGGAGGAGAAACTTCTTGTGTAGGTTTTTTTGTGTTTCTCTTCTGTGTGCAACACAAGGATGGGTTTATTGAGAACTTTTTCCATGCATTTTCCCAATGATCAATATATTGTGGTATTTAATGATGTGGTTTCAGTTTTATGTGATTGTGCGTCGCAGGTGAATTTTGTGCTGCTGCGAAGAGGGCAGAAAGGATGTGTTGTGCGACATAAAAAGAGAGGTTTTCCGTTAGTCAATTGATTAAGTGAAGAAGTTGAGAGATTCTGACAACCATTCAATTGCCACATTTGATGGTTTTGTTTGGTGTATTTTTCACTTGATTTTAGAGTGTTTATTTGCGTGAATAGAGTTGATTGTGAAAAATTTTTGATCAATGCTCTCTAGAACAAATAGTTTTGCATGAGTTTTCTCAGGTATTTTGCTGTGACTTTCTGCACACATTTCAATGTGTTTGTGTTCCGATGCTCGTTCTTTCTCTTTTCCGCTGAGCTTTTGGTGTCTTTCCATGTGTTTGTGGGCTCTGCATGAAGTCGATGGGTTGGCAAAGTGGAAAGACCACTTTATGCCTTCAGTTGAATCGCGGTGGGCAAAATGTAAAGAACGCGCCGTGGCGAGAGAATTGGAGAGATCTCAGTGTAAGAAGTGGTTCACCAGAGTCAATGTGTGTGTTTTTTGCATAAATGTTGCAATAATATATTTCACCTTATTTGCCATATGTAGAAAAAGAATGTGGAAATGCGGGAAAAGATATCCTTTGATGGTTATTTTTTGCTGAATTTCTGGACTTTCTTCTAGATTGTGGTTTTTTTTGGCATCTCTAAACTGAACTTGTGTACAGTGTTGAATTAAGAGAGACATGATTACATAAAAGAGAAGAAAGGTGAATTTGTGAGTGATCTTCATATGTGACTTCTCCATTGGATAATCTCAAGAAATTGATCTATAGTCTGGTTGTGATTGAATTGGGGGAGGAAGAAGAAGAAACAGGACATTTTGATAGAGTTTTGAGAAGGCATTAAAATCAAAGGGTTTGAGAGTGTATGGAAATCAATAAATGAGTCTCACGAGATGGTCATTAAACTCGTCTTCCAACCATCTTCTTGTGGTTCTTCTACTTCTTCTGATGCTGCACAAACTCATGTTTGTCTCACTGGGAGTTTTGAGCTCCCAGAGACAGTGAGAGAGGGAGAGAAAACGGTGGAGAAGAATTACAAGAAGAGATGGAAAAGAGGCAGAATAAAAGCCTTTTTATTCCTACTTCCAATATATATTTCTCTCTCGTATATATAATTTTTTTTTTGTTCAAGTAGGTTTTATCAACTTTTTCCCTCCATTCTGGAATTGAAACTTGTCCAATATATGTATATAGAGAGAATTTTCTTGAACAATTCGCAATAAATTCAACCATCTTCAACCTCCTCTTCATAGTCTCAAAGTTGCACACACAAAATGATGCTATCGTATATGAATAATCGTGCTTTTTTGCCTCCACGCTGGACTCTTCTTGTTCTGTTTTTGGTTTTCTGTCTCTCAGGGTTTTGTTTTGCATTGGAAGAGCAAAAGACATTTAGTATAAAATAAAATGGGTGAAGAATCTGTGGGAGATTTTGAACAATTTCCATGTGAGACAATTAGAAGATATATTTTCTACTAAAACGCAATCAATCAGCAATAAAATGTGCCTTCGCGGTATTGGCAGCTTTTTTCCCTAAAGGATGGGAATGAATAGAAGAATTGGCAAATAAATTTTTAGTGGCAGTTATTTAGATGAGTGGGCGTCATTTCCACGCTGTGACCATTCTAATTTGTACAAGATTGAAGATGAAATCCTTGGCTTTTGAAACCTGAAATGTTGTTACGTCTTCTGGACGCAAAGACAGAGGGAGAGAGAGAGAGAGAAAAGTGTTGGACAGCAAAGATGCAAGAGTTTAGTGTGGAAAAAGAGTGAAATGTGAAATAGTAAAAGAAGTTTAATTAATTGTACTGAGAGTTTTCACTCCAGTGTCTTTTGTTGTTGTTCCTTTTTTCTGTCACTATTTGTATGTAATTGTTTGGAAGGTTGGAAGAAAAAAGAGTAGCAACATTTACTGAAATTGTGCTATAAATGGCAATTTGAAAGAGGGGCGCGAGCGATAAATGAGAAATGGAAAAAGTAACAATTAAAGTGTACACAACAATAGCGAAAGATTCACTGGAAATTAAACTGAATTTACAGGGTGTGGCGTGTTGAATTCATATCAGAGGCTTCTTCAAAAAAGAGTCAAAATATGACTGAAATTCAGTGAGAAATTTAATTGGGAAATTCCTTGTAAGCATATTTTTCTGACTGTCTCTCTCTCTCTTTCTCTCTCTATGTGTACTTGAGCAATTTGGTGAGATTCAATTATGAATTCACCATCAGACAGTGAACCACACGAATTGTTATTTATTGTTACATCTTTCAAGGGTAATCAGAAGAAATTACAGTTAAAAAAGCATATAAGAAAGTTAGCAATTTTTCTTAGACTTCTTACATTTTTCTCTCTCACTCTTTCAGAGATCTAAAGAAAATATAATGAAGATCGTGTGTAATTTTTCAGATGATTTTGACAGTTTTTTTTTTATTTTTATCAAACACATTTCATCAGAGTAGAGAAAGAAATTGTATTACCTTTTATGGTGAAAAATAGGAAAAATCACTTGAAAAAATTTCACCAAATTATTTTTTAAATTCAATTGGCAATTTTGAACGCTTTTTCCTTGTTTTCGGTGGCACGTTTTAGTGTGAGGTGAAATGGAAAATAGAGTGAGAAAGAAGAGTGTTGTGTGTATTTAAGGAAATTTCTTTCATTTGCCACTGTTGATTTATTTTCCTGACTCATTTTTTGTCGAGTGAATGGTAAACAGAAAGAGTTAAAGAAGTCTTGGCGCCAAATGCACTGAGAAAAATCCATGGAAATTGTTAGAAATTGATCATTTTTTTTGGAGCAGTTTGATTTGAGGAAGTATTTTTCTGTTAATTGAGAGAATGAAATGTGTTAAATTTGACCGAGTGAAATTATTTTGCTCTTTCTCTGCATGATAACAATGTTTTTTCTGTGTGATCAGAAACAATTGTGCGTTGATTAAATAGAAAATGTGTATTATTGAATACAAATTTAGGTGAGAAACCATGCGATCGTCGTGAAGTGGCAAATTTCGATGGTTTATTCAGCATAACAGGCAATATATTTGTGCGCCATGCGGAATAACATGCTTCACGTTGGCGTGAATTGTGAGATTTGTTTTTGCACGATAGCTTTTTACATCGCCTAAATTCATGCCATGATGATGGTTTTGTTAGAATACATCAAATATTGCGGGCTAGAATCAATCCAACGGTCTGTGAGAGTGTGCAAAGGCAAAAATTGGAGAACATTCTCAGAATTGCCCAGTTAAACATCAGACAGGCACATTAACACAGAAAATGAATAACAATTTGCTCAGCGTTCCGGTAACTGAAGAGAATCCGTTTTATCTGGACAAATGACTGAACAATTATGAATTTTCTAAAGTCCTTCTTGTGTAGATTTATGATTATCATTTTATGATTGTAAAGAATAAATTGCGCATGTTTTTCGGAATGTCTGAAATTGATAGAACGTGAGTGGAAAAATGCGGTCAATTCCGAGTTAATTCGCCGGTGATATTCTCTGACATAGAAAATGCCGCGATTTTCCAGTTGCTTTTTTCTGTGGTTTACAAGATTGAAAGTAAAACGTGTTGGCTTTCGTGTGTGGTTTTGTTGTTCTTCAAACATTTTTGATCAAAATGTGGCAAAAGCGACACGCGCACAGAGGATGTGAATTAAGATGGTTAATGAAGGGGAAATTTGCCCTATAAATTGAACATTTGCTATTCTATGAATAACTTCAATTTCCTCTGGTATTATTAGTTAATTACTTCTATTCCATTTTATTCAATCGTGTTATCAAGATTGGAGAAATATGCCCAAGTATTACACAAAAATTATTTTCCACTCTGTTTCCTGTTGGTCTAACTGAACATTGCTTTTTACTGCCGCTGTTTTTATTTTTTTTTGTAGATTCAAATGGTGGTGAAGAGGTGAATGAATAAAAAAAAATGATTTGATATTCCTACTTTTTATGCCTCGATTCGCTTTTTTACACTAGAATTGTATTTTATATAATCTGGAGTGTCTTCATTATGCATGTTTTGGCATTTTTGCTAAATTCACTTCTCATATATTGTGCGCGCGTTGAGCAGAAATTGAGCAATTTACATTCAGAATCTCTAGAGATCATTTTCAAACATAACTTTCATCCAGATTCACCATTCGGTAGTGTGTGATTTTATTCAAATTTTTAATAAATGAAAGAGAGACCGTAATGTAATATTTTATCGTCAATTAATTCACTCAATTTAATTATCTCTCCTATGTTCTTCCCTCCTTATTTTCGTGCATAATTACGATCTTAACTCCCGTTACTGCACATCAATATAGAGAGAGATCTTGTTAACCTTGAAGAGAATTTTCAGAGCTAAATTCATCGGAACAAATAATTCACGACGCATGAATGGATAGCAATATGAAAGAGGTCAATAAGAGTGCTTCAAGAGTGGAGTGAAATTTAATTTAAACCTCGGTGAGGTGATTTGAGAAAATATCAGTCTTGATGATAAATTTATTCCCAATTATGTGTTACACGATGTCATCAATTTTCTGGTCTGTGGGAAAAATGCTCCGTCAAAAGGTAGCATTGTGGAAATTATAACGTACAAATGATGACAATTAGCTCGTGCTACGATCTTCTTGTGGGTGTTTATGTTTTCTCCTTCACTTCGAAAATGCACAACAAAATATTCACATGATGAACAGAGTGAGAGAAATGTCTTCAGAGCTTCGTTTTTTTACGACTTTATTGTCTTCCTGAGAGTTGTGAAGACAGTTTTCTCCTTCTTCTCAGTCTCGCGTGAAGAGCAATTAACAATTTGGTAGCTAAAGTAATTTTTAATTGTTTTAGAAAGAATGTATTGCATAAGTCGAGAGACAAAGAGAGAGAGAAAAACACAGGGAGAAAGAGAGAGAAGTGAAATGATTACATTAAGTGGGGAAAGTAGACTGGAGTATCTTGAGATTATCCATGAGAAGGAATGTTAAAATTGTTTGTGTGGTGTGTGATAAGGAGGAATTTTTTCCAGTGTCAGTGCAGGAGTTTTGAAGAAAGAAAAAAAAAAACGAAATACAAGTGCTGAAAGAGAGACAAAAGATGAAGCCAATCACGTTTGAGTCCATCAGGAATTTGCTGAAGACGAAAAAGAGCAAGAATAAAGAAAAAGGTGTCGATGCCAGCTTCAAGAGGTCAGATTCATTCAAACGCATCAGCATCCGGAAGAGTTACTTGGACCGTGGTAGAAATAAGCGTGCCAATGGAGGAGGAAATTGTGGTCAGACGCGAGCAAAGTCGTCTGTTATTGCCCTGGATGATGTGGCGGCGATGAAAGTGGCCAATTCGCTGGTAAGTCACAGGGATGTGCTGATGCAGCAGCGCCAGCATCAGTATGGTGACAATGGGCCAAAGTCCTCCCTGCAGGAGATCACGGAGATCCTGTCGCTGGGCGGCGTGAAGAAGAACACGCGTGAGATCGAGGTGCAGACGGTGGAGATGGATTTTCGTGGCTTCAACAGCAGCGAGTCGATTTTCTGTGATCTGAAGAGGCTCGACGACGAGAGAATTCACGCCGGCGATGCCACGGAGGCGTGCAAGAGTCTGATTGATGTCACAGGTTCGCACCATTTGCACTCGATCGTGGTGGATGCCGGAGAGGAGAATTCGCCGGAGGATGACGATGTGAGAGATGACTCCAAGTATGTCAACACTTTCGTCCTGTCTGGCAGGGAGACGTCGTCGAATCAGTCTTCAGGACATTCGTCATCAGGTAGGATGCAGTGAAGTGAAGAGAAATGTTTCAATGATGTTCTTCACGCGGCTCAAATGGGAATATTAATGGCATTAATGGGCTTTTAAAGTTATTTTCAACACTTTCTTAGATTCATTTGCTATAGAAACATCACTATTTTTGCTCAGAAAATCCATATTTGGTCTATTTGATGGGATTAAAAGACTCTTAAGATACGCATTGAGCTGTTTTGTTCTATTTCGGCTGGAAGAACATCAAATGAAATCATTTCTTTGCTTCGTGTTTTTTACGGTGACACTTAGAAGACTCTCTCGCTAGGCCACCATCGAGACCGTTCGTTGCAGAGCATGGAGACAATGGGATGCGCCGTGAAGAGCCTGACGGATGGCGATGACTCGGAGGTGGATCGCGCGACGGCGTCCATCATTTCGGTTGAAGAGATGCCGAGTTTGGTGACATTCAAGACATATTGTGCTCCGCCAAAAGTGTATTTGGAGACGAACTTCGACGAGTGCGAGCCAGCGAAGATTGTCACGCGAGAGATGGCTATGAGTGCGGGCAATGTGTCACGCACGAGACTGATTTATGAGCCAGAGAAGAGCTTTCCCATCATTGATTCGCACACTTTTCGCATGGAGAAGGTGAAGACGGCGCAAGATAGTGGCGGCGTGGTGATTAAGATTCCGGCAATTGTGGAGGAAAGTTTGGAGAATCGGGAGAATCTGACGAAGAAGCTGAGCAAGGACTCGGCTTTGGCGCTGGAAGAGGAGGACGATGTGGAGAAGGCGCGTGAGGAGAATGGAAAGTGTACTTTTGAGATTTACAAGGCGCTGAAGACGGAGAAGAGCTCGGGAAATTCGGAGGACGAGAGCACACTGGAGAGAATTGAGGAGACACCAAAGATGGACAAGGAGGTGAAGCCAATGAAGTACTCAACGACTTTTGAGATCAATCTTGAGTACCCGAAGCCGTACAATAACGCAGAGAATAACTTCGATGAGAGGGAAATCATCTCGCCAGACTCAAGTATTCCCTATCCTTTGAGGATCAAGACGAATCCGTTTACGCGTCAAAAGGAACTCTACTCGGTGAATCTCGGGAGGATTTGGAAGCAATTGAATCTGGGTCAGGATGAATTGTCACTGGATATGAATGGTGGGAAGTTTTCGGGTGCCAAAGCGACAAATAAGAATGAATCCTTCAAATCCATGTCATCGAGAGATTCGGGCTTCAGTTTGACGCTGACGAAGCCAAAGAGCCTTTTTCGGCGGAAGAGCAAGAAATCGAAGAAGGGTGAACAGAGGCGAAAGCCAAAGCTTTCTGTGAGTCGTGATGGGTATTTTAAGAGGGTGATGGTCGTGCAGAGGAACTCGTCGAGGCGGAAGAAGAAGCAGAAGTATGACAGTCAATTCTTGAGGGATTTCGAGGAGTTTTGCAGTCGCAGGAACAAGAAGGAGTTCTATCGCAGGCGTAATTTTGACGATGACGAGGACATTTTCACGCAAGAGATCAATGATCTTGAGACATTCTATGAGGAGCACTTGGCACGCCTGAGGAATTACTATATGCACAAGAAGAAGATCAATGAGGCCACAATTACTGACTTCTATCAGGACTTTGGTGAGCGTGAACTGTACTGTTCGCCCCATGTTGTGGCCAGGAATGAGACATTGCGTCGCAAATGTGCCAATTTGGCCATGCAAGATGAGTCGATGCAAGTGAATCCGGGGAGTTTCAATGATTTCTCATTTCCGCACCCGGACAAGAGGCCACCATCGGCAACGGTGAACAATAGTCAGGGTGGCGGGAGTGCGAGTAGTACAAATCGTCGAACGCCACGTCTGAATCAGTTTCAGGAAGTGCGACGCATGGACAAGAGTTTGGAGGAGCATTTGAAGTATGCGGAGCTGATGTTTCAGGCTTCAGCTGCGAGTCCGGCACAGAATCAGCGTCTGTACGAGCGTGTGCCGTATGCGGAGATTCAATTTCCGCCAGAAGTGAGGCGACGCATGGCGAAGAGTCGTCTGTATCGGCAGAATCAGCGCCGAAAGGTGGTGGATGAGGAGGATTTGTATGGTGTGGGAAAGCAGGAGATCTCGCTGGCCAATGTCTTTCCGCCGGTGCATCAGAATGCCAAGAAGTCCCTGGTCGGCATTCGCTGTGGCAGTTGCTGCAAAATCCGGCGCTCGTCCGAGTCGAATGACAATGAGGAGGAGGAGGAGGTGACTGAGGAGGTGGAAAATCACGTGAATATGCGCCAGGAGAACAGTGATGAGTTCAGTGAGAATGAATTCATCACGAACAGCATTGGTGGATGCGAGTACTGCTTCAGGTGTGGCGTGGTGGATGGTGTCACTGGCGAGAGTGTGTGTATCTGTGATGGTCATGGAAATCCCGTGGAGGACGATGAGAACTCGGTGAATTGCCTCGATGATGAGGACTTCTGTGAGTGTGGCGTGAGATATCAGAAGCGGAAGGTGAAGAGGAGGAAGTCCAAGAAGAAATTGCGCAAGAATCACTCAACACTGAGAAAGAATGGTTACAGCTACTATAGTGAGTATAATATAAATATGAGTAAAATGTATTGGTCAAAAAGGGTTTAATGAAAACACATTGGTTTCTTCCCTGAATGGCGTTCTTTCATGACAGGAGAGAAAAGAACATTCTTGGTCGCACTATAACGGATGTCTTCTCTTCTTGATAGAATTGGTCAGTCAATTTAGCCAAAAAAAGAGAGAAAGAAAAAAATTACTTTGCGGTTTTTTCCCTTCACTTTGACAAATTTTCTCAAGTTCTTTCATTAGTTTCTCATGTCTCACTAAACTTTACCTCTGCTTCAAAGTAATGTGAATAACTCAATGGTGGGAGATTTTCCTGTTGTTGAATATTTCGGCATTGCGATGAGGCAAAAGAAATCTTCCTAAGAAAACAATGAGATGCAAATAATGATAAGATTTCAAACTATGTGAGTTTTATTGAATTTTCCTTCTTAGAAAGAAAGAGAGAGAGAGAGAGAGTCAATTGTACTGTAAATTCACGAGAAGAAAACACATCAAGAATTGATGATTCTCGCTATTCTTGCCGCACAATTTGATGAATTGGGATTCTCACTGAAAATTTCAATATATAGACATTCAATTGTTTGGAAATGTTCCAATGTCTTGTACCACATTTGACTCATCCCATTGACAAAGAAGTCTCTCACGGGACAATTATGTACAGTGTGATTTTCAATTGATTTCTCTTTTTTTGGTTAACAACCCAAAGAAGATCTCTCTCACTCTATCTATGTGTCTCTCAAGGAAACTGTACAATGGCGAAAATGGATCATTTGCCTCTCCTTCGCGCATTCTTCTATCGTATTTGGTGTGTGTTGTTTTTATTGTGTGGTTGTTTTGCGAGGAGATCAAATGAATATTTATCAATTGAATATCCACGTGTTCAATTGGAACTTCAGCTATAAGAGTCAAATAGAGCAAATAGAGTCTCACTAGCAGTGCCTTTTTTGCCATGACTGTACGCATATTTACAATAACACAAGTTGCTCCACAAATAATCTCCAAGAGTTGTGTCTTTGTCAATGCACGAAGCATGGCTTTTATATATGTATGTTTCATGTGTCATTGGCGAAGAGATTATACTTGAGAGAAATATTTGCAGCAGCATTGATTTTCTCAGTTACTTTTTGAAACTTAATTGCAAAATTCAATGGAATTTTATCACAAAGTGCGGAATAACTAAAAATGTGGGGGTGTAAACAATTGGAGACTCACTCTCTCTCTGTGCCATTAAGGGGAGATTTTAATCGGGCAGCACAGAGTGTGATTGTGGAGGACACACACGCGAAAGGAATGAGTTCAATCACATGGCATTAATAGAGTTTTCTACACTTTGTCTTCAACATGACATTATGGAGTGAAACTGAGGAAAAAGAAGAGCCTCAATAGTTATTATTATTTGTTATTGAAAGTGAAACTCACGTCAATATTCATTGCCATTGAACATAAAGGAAATTTCCAAGTGTATTATTATTGTCAGAATACACAGATGGCATGTGATAGATTATATTATAATGTCGGTAGGTTTATAAAGAGACCTTAATGGAGTGAAAGATTGCAGGATTAAATGATTATCAATATCAAGATTTGATGTAATGTTAGAATGAGTGTTTGTTAATAATTTGTCTGATTTTTTAATTGCTAAGTTTGATGTCTAATCTATAAAGATGTTTCAAGAGTGCTTTCGATGGTGTTATTCAAATCACTCTCAGATATTCAATGGTCATAATGATGCTGTGTCGCAAGGGGTATTTTATTTGATATTCGAATAGTTGTGTGATTTGACTAAATGCACAATAACATTCATGTTACAAGACTTATTAGTACTAAAATGTATTTTGCGTGGGTGATTTTTATTCATTCGGCCTATTGAAAAGACAAGTGAGTTGTGCGATGTGGCAATGATTGTGTTGGAATGAGCGACAATTCAGAGGTCAATTCCTGCTTTTGGGGGCGTTTTTGTCATTCCAAACATTGCCTTCTGTACAATTTGCATACACCCTTCAAAAGCTACAAGAATATAACTTTATCACATGAATTCCTCTTCATCGCACTGTTCTTTTTTTTTGTTGTTGTGTTGCCTTTTATTTTCTTCTTGGTTGTCGCACGAGGGCAAAAACATCACAATGAGTCACACAATGAATGTGTGAAAAAAGTCTACTTTTGCAGCCTTGAATGAGTTCAATATTATTATTAATAATTTTGTAAAGCCTTAATGCATGTAATTTGTTCAATATATTGACTGAATTTTGGCTTCTTTTTTTTGGGTGGTTTGTGATATGAATAAATTTTTCGGGGAAAATGACAAGAGGAGAAGAAACAAAAAAATACGACAAAGTGTAGAAAATATTTAGTCACATTTCGGTGATTAAATAGAAGCAGTGCTGTTGTATGAAAACACGCATTCCTGAGTTGGCGGGCTCTTTTTGTTCGCGTGTGTCTTTGCTTTTGTTGCTGGAATGGGCGATAAAAAGAGTAGCCACAACAAGAGGGCAACGCAGCCAGTGGACATTGGTACAATGTTGTTGTTGGATATTGTTGAGGATGAGTTGCACACTTTTGTAGTTTGTATGGGAGGAAATTTGGGATAATCTTCACGTGTGCTGAGTTTGACTTTGACCCTGATTGTGTGTGAGATAAGGACGGGATGACTGTTGCAACGTGAGATGATTTGCCTCTCAAAATGCAAAATACAAACTGAAATATTTACTTGTGATGCCATATTTGTGGTGTTTTCTGTCGTGAGTCTCATTAAAATTCACGTGGGTGGATTTTGAGATTATACAGTTTGACGATAAAGCAAAAGAGTGTCATATCTTGAAGAAGTCTTTAGTCTCGAATAGCATATTTGGACATTGAGTAATGCAGAGAGCATAGCATTTTGTCAGAAGGAGCAATCATAAACATAGCATTGTGGTGAGTTTAATGAGATGGACGCACGAGGTATGAAAAGAGGAGAGAGAGAGAAAGAGAGGAAAAAACGGAATCAGTGGAGATTTGAAGTTGTTCAACAGTTATTTGAGCATCAGTTTCATTTGTATTTATGATTAATTGAGGCTTTCTTCCTCATTACATGGATGCTTTGGAGTCTGAAACAAATTTCTAATGTTAATGACCTGTTTGATTTATTTACTCTGCTTTTTCACTCCAAACTGTTCGCTGCTTCTTCTCTAAAATCATGTTTTTACATCTCTTATTGCAGGTGACATCACACAGAAAGGATATGAGAAGAAGAGAACAAGACTACTTCAGCCGTATTTGGCGAAGAATGCGCAGCCAGGTGAGAAAAAAGAATTGACGAGGTTTTTGATAGTGTATAAATTTGGTGTGGTTTAGCGGATATTATATGATTAATCTTTGCATTTAATCGGTGACTGAGTGACACGAATATGAGAGATGTTGAGAGAAACTGCTGGCGCGACAAGTAAATGATTACTTCATCAGCATCACTGAGCCAGTTAGAAATTATTCAATAATTATCGTGTATGTGATAAGATGATTTTCTCAATAAGTGATCTTATTGAGCATTTCCGCGATTAGAACGGTACGCAATATGTGGATCAAGAGGGTGTCTAGGCAAGCAAGACATAGAAATACAGGTCAATAGAGATTAAGTGATTGATTCGTGTGTGCCAAATGATTGTATTTCGACTCTTTCATCTCCATTTTTGCCCAAGGTTGCATGGCAATAATAGACAATAATTTTTCATATTTTAAAGTAAAATGATATTCAATTGCGGCACACGCATCGCATCTCTTGTATTATAATATACACAAAAGTGATTTCAAGACCGACACCATAAAAGGTGAGAATATACTTTAAATATCTACAAGAATATACAAAGATGAATTGCATAATTATTGTGCAAGAAGTTGAAGAGCAGATGACGTTGAATATGGTGCGAAAAAGATACTATCAAGATGATTATTGAGGAGTTTCCATCGGTGATAAATCTCGGAGATTTGATTGTTTTTTTTTTGTCTTACACTGAAATTTCATCTCATTTTTCAGTGCTTGCGTTCAGAAAAATGAAATCAATTGCTGACGCTAGAGAGGGAAATGAAACATGGTGTGAAGAATCTGACTCGCGAAGAGATTTCTGCTCAGTTGAAGAATAATGTTTGTTTCTTCTTTTCTTTCTCAATATGAAAATGCGTGCAAAGTGAATTGCACCCCTCATCAATCTCATCTCAATTGTTTATCGCGCGTCCATTCTGTTGCGGGACGGCAGGAGATTGAAGGCATGAAACATGGAGAGATGTAAAGCTCATTGAATGCAATTGAGGGGAGGCGAATGACCACAGTGCATAAGAGATTGCTGTGTGTATTATGCGCGATCAATGTGGCTCATGCGCGCGTGTTGGTGGCCTAGAGTTGATCGCCATGGCGAGGTGGTGCAATTAATATAACCGCTAGAGCCCATCGGCTCGCTACACAGCAAAGTGGCCACGAAATGATGATGATCGGCTAGAAGACGTCTTTTCCGCCGCACCGGAGATAATGTTGTGTGTATAAATCTCTGATGCTTTTCCATCATCATTCTCTCTGCTCCAGCTCAAATTGCCATTTTAGATTGATGCGTTTCTTTTTGCTTCGCCAACACTTTTCGTCTGGTTTCTGTGATTCCTCCTGTCGCGCGATCGTGTTGGTGAACAAATCATCGTGTTTCTGCTCAATTGCAAATCATCATATAAATCATATTCAAGATGATTATGAGGCCTTTGCTACTCACTTTTTTTACGCTCTCACGTCAAGAGTAATTCTCATGTGAGATATATTTCAAGTCAAAATGTAACTCAAATTGACCACAAATTGCGAGGTGTGACGTCAATGAAGACGAAGAGAAGGCCGTTAAATGGTTGAGAGAGAAGAATATGTGAAAGAGTGGAATTTTCTAATGAAATAAGACGAAATTTTAATTGAAAATTTTGAATTATATCATTCATTCATTCACTGACCAAGAAATTTATCACGATTTTTAGTTTATTGTACATTTTTAAAGGATTTTTTAGTGGAAGTCAGAAGAAAATGATGATTTTCTTGAACTGCCCTTCATATATTGAATATTATCAAGTATGAGAACGATTGAAGAATGAAGAACTGACATCAGAAGTTTGTGAAATCATTCAAGATTGCATCGTGTTTTTGGAAAGAAAATTTCTGTAATTATGGCGCAGTGATTTTAACGACTCTCTGTTGAGAGATGAAGAACAAGAGATGAAATTGATTTCAATTAGGCACAATTTGTAAGCATATTCTTGTGCTTGTTGGAGAAGAAATTCTACCCATGAGGATGTGGTGTAGATGTAAAACTGTCCGATTTAATCCAGTGATTGCACACAAAATGTGCCGCTTTGGCTCTTCTTCTCTTCGCTCTAGCATATTATTAATATTCTGCAGGCAAGATTGTAAAAATATTCCAAGATTGTACAACAGTTACATTTAATATCTGTTCGTTTTTTTTTCGGTCGGAGAGAGTTGAAGGAAGCGAAAATTTCAATTAGTATTATAGAAATAAATGAGCAAATTAAGTGTTTTTCTCTTCTTCTCTCTCCCAGTGGAAATTCTTAGAATGTTTTATTTCTTCGCTTATTAGCACACCAATCAATATTCATAAGGCTACAGTGATGATTCCGCATAAGATTATTAATTTGAGACACACGAAAGTGTCTCTCGAGTTCATCTCTCAACATCTCTCTCAATTCGGGATGCCAATGTGGTGGCTTTTTCGGGATAATTAACTGTGATGTTTGGTGAATTACACAAAATGTATTTTTACCTTCTCTTCCAATTGCCGCCAATGTGTCTCTTGTGTGCGAATGTGGAAAACAAACGGTGGGATGGAAAATCAGGTGATGGGTATTACAATCTGCAGCAGAAGCCACCGCCGCCCATTCCGTGCGGCGGCAGCTCAAAGGGCGGCATTGTGTCAGCCGATGGCTATAGTTATGTGGACGACGTGCACTCGCTGCAGTCGAGTCACCATCATCATCACCACTCGTCATCGTCGCATGGGCACCAGAAGTCATCTGGGGGTGGTTCTTCGGGGCACCACCACCCGAATCGCACGAGACGCACGCAGCGGCGTGTCACGCACAATGAGAAGCGTTATCACTCAGGTTATTACGTGTTCCACTGAGTAGAACTTGTGCGTGTGTGTGTGTGTGTGCATTGATTAGTTCTTGCTTAACGCAATTATGATTTCCCTTTGCCAATGAATTTTCCAGTCCTCTTCAACTGTAAGATGCTAAATTTTACGTTAAGAATAAGCAATGCTTAGAATCATGAAGATAAGAAGCGACGTTTCAGTTTGTCTTGCATGAAATTCACAATATTCCATCGAGATGATTTGAGGATTCTTTGGTTTTCTATAGCATAGAAAACAGTTTGTAAAAATTTGAATCTTATGAGATTCGTGAAGAATCGTGATAGACTGAAAAAGACATGAAGCGCACAGTTTAAATGTAGATTAAAATTATTCCTTTTGTTTAAATTGTTCAAGCAATGAATGCTTTTCATTAATAAATACCAGAGTCTATATAAAGAGAAAGAGAATGACTTCAAATATAGTGAATCGAACTCTATTTGTTATTCAAAATCAATAGAGATTGTACTTGAGGTTGTCCTAATAAGGTTCAGTGAATGAATCTGCATAATAGTTGAAAGTATAATCAAATATCAACTTCGATCAACCTTGAATATGATGATAATGTTTCAGTGAATTTACATAGATAATCTCATAAATAAAATGCCCTTGGTCAGCAGAAATATTTCTACCATAAAAGAGAGATGCAACTCAAGTCACTTTCTCTGACTCTATCATCACCCTTCTTTTCAACGTTTTTTGGATTTTGCATGGGATTTGATTTTGAGATCTTTTTGCAGCAATGCTGCGCAATGCTTTCGCGGTGAGAGTGTTGAAATTGTACAATTGTTGAAAGATCAACCATTTTATATATACGAGATGTATAGTTTTTTTTTTTGCTGTGTTCTTTTATGTGTTGAAATTTTCATAAATTATATCCAATGGATGATTTTCGATCGCACTTGATTTCCAACCTCTTTGCTGTTTGTGCGCCTCTTTCATATCCATCCACACACAATTCTCTTGATGCGTGTATTTGGACTCTTTTTCTTACTGTACATCGCATTTCACGCTTTTTCGGAATTGATTACAAGGTCCGCGCGCAGCTGATGTTTAACGCCAAATCATACACGGTGATCTCACGATGAAAACTGCCCAAAAGTCCACATGTTTGACTGGAGGGGCGGGAAATTCTCCCTAACTGTTTGTCTGTTTGCTTAAATATCTAACAACGGTGATTAATATTGTGCTAAATTTTATCGGATTCTGTGGGACGGAAAAGACACTGCGTGATTTTGAGCAATAATAGTTATAATTAATTTGATATTAATAGATTTATTAATTCAGTTATATTTAGTTTCATGTTGTTTACTATTGATCCTTCTCTGTTCTTTTTTTTTGCTGTTGTTGAAATTTTTGTGTGTGAAATTTTTCTTTTTTGCATGGCAATTGAAATCACGCGAAATTCAATCACATAAAAATGTGCAACATTGGGGCGCGCGTGTTGGACGGTTGCTTGTTTATCAAACATAATGATTAGTGACGGACAAGAGAAGTCCTGAGAAGAAGACTGCGGAGGAGTCAAAGCCCAATTTTCGCGGATGCAGTCCATATAAGTCGCCACATGATGTGAATGAGAGGGACTTGAGGCCGCAGCAGATTCTCGCGCAAATTGCCCAGAATCTGAAGAATCGTGCCGCAAATGTGCCATCGACGCAGACGGGCAGTGCCAGTGGCCAGAGTGTGCAGCAGCACAAGAAACAGCCTCAGCAGCAGACGGAATCTGGCGCTGAGGCCAGGAGAAATCGGCGTCTGGGGCGACAAGAGAGTCGATACACGAGCGGTAAAAAATTCAAGACAGTTTTTTTTTCCTAACAGAAATCATGTATATAGGCTCATCAATTAACACTGAAGAATGACGAAGAAGAGTCTCTTTTTCCACACATCAGACTTCCTGCTCGAGTGTTGGACTTTGAGATTGAGAACCGAAGGCAAAGGGATTCGCGTTTAAGTGGCTTTGCTTCATCAATTTCTTGTGCACTATGAGAAAAAATCACATTGACAAGAAGCTTTAGTTTTTTTTTTTCTTTATTGAGCAACTAAACGTCTAACTTTATGGCTTAACACTGAATTTCATACTCACAATTATTATTTTCTGTGTCTCAAAATATGACCATGATTTTTCAATGGTCAATTTGAAATTTTCCCTGGTCGATTGCGCTTCGTGATGGTCTTTAAATACATGACAAAGTCCTTCTCTCGAGTGTGTTTAGAGTGTAATGAAAAGCGATTTCCTTGAATTTTTGCAAATATGACAAATATGCTGATATAAAATGTCACAGTGATCATTATTATAAAATTCTATCGTCAATTTTTTCTCTCTTGAACACCATTAAAAATGCTGAAAGAAGTGTTGATAAAAAATTGCAGTGAAGCACTGGGGAAAGTTGACAAATGCGCTTTTCTTTCCGGAAAAGAAAAATTAATATGAGGAAGAAGATGAAGAAGAAGAAAAACGTCAAGATAGTTTTTCGCCATGAGCAAAAATGATGGCAAAATTGCATTCAGACATTGTATTTGAGAGATGCTTGAAAAATGGGCGCAATTATGAAAGAAAATGTGAGAAAATGTCAATGCAAAGGAGAGGGAAAAGTAGGAGAGGGACGGAAAATGGGGACACACGAAGCACGATTTGGACTGGAAGATAAAATGAAAGCAAGAATATGGAGAATTAGTGTTTGATGGGTGAAGAAAAAAAACAGCAACAACAAGAGTCTCGAGGAAGCGCACGAGTGAATTCTTTGACGAAATATTGTTTCTCCAACATTTTCTTTGCACTCTTGTTAAAATTGCACAAAAACAAGTTTAGAGAACTTTGAAGATTTTTTTTCTTTTCTTCTCTCTGTGCATGAAAAGATTGAAGGTGTTCTTTATGTTGAATTTGTCGTGTTAAAGTTGTATTTGTTCTTTTTTTTCTCTTCTATTTATTAATAATTATCAAAATGATCACACTTTAGAAATGTCTGCACATTTTTTTTATCAGTTTTTAGGGGAAATGTGGCATATTTTTATTTTTCTTTTGACTTGTTTGATTGTAAAGAGAATTTCTTGTGACATTTTTTTATATTACAAGATGAATTGTACAGTTTTTTCTGTTGTTGTTTTGTGAAATAATGTAAATATCTTTTATATGTGAGAAAATGAAAGGAAGATCAGCAAAATTGTCCCCACAAATTGTACAGAGATCATGAAAAAAAAAATGATTGCGTTAGAAATCTCATTATAATCACATTCTATTTTACATTTCAATTTAATTTGACTCATTCATTTATGCATCTTTCCAACACACACTCACACATTCATTGTTTTGATCATTAAAATCATTCCGCAGAAGTGAGACAAGAGGCCGTTCAGCAAGCTCTGGCCGCACTAAAAAATCGACCAAAGCCTAGCTTACCAATGCCATCAAAACGCAGTTCTGTGCTTAATCGTAGTCCCGATCGTGACAATGATGATTCAGGTAAAAATGATCATTTCTTCATGAATCCTTCATGAGAAAGAGAGAGAGAGAGAAAGAAAGAGAGATTGGTGCTTTTCACCCCTTTCACAATGTTCTAGATAGAAAGAGAGAGAAAGAGAGATTTCTCTTGTGTGATTTTAATGGCAAAAGATCAAGTTTGATGTGTTCATTCAGACTTGTGACATCCATAAGATTACCAATTCATGGCTGATTGTCTCAATGGTTTCTCGTTCTTCTTATTTGTTTTCTGTTTCGCGCGCACATAGAATCGTCATCTGAGGAGGGAAGTATTCCAGAGGAGAGAATTTCCACGCCAGAACGCGATGGATACAATTTGCCACGTGATCACGTTGTTGGTGGGAACATTCCGAGGGAGCCGGCAAAGCTGCCATCGCATCATCCGCCGAGTCGCGAGCATCACAAGACATCGTCGCACATTTCCGACAGGCGGCCACAGAATCTGCCCGCGCCACCGCTGTCGGACACCTCGAGTGCAGGATCGCCGCCAGCCAGTGTTCACAGGACTCAGAAGAACTCGTACGACATGACGGACATCTCGGACTTTCAGATTCGTCCGTACGCCGCGCCTGACATCACGCAATTCAACAACACACGGCGCGGAGCAGATCGTGTCACCAGGTAAACATTGCAGCATTGATTCTTTGGCTTGTATTTACACTCACTCTTCGGCAGATACGTGAATGTGGCGGGAACGGAGCCCGGTGACACGAGCACGGCGGGCAGATGGAAGGTGTCGGCGAAGATTCAGCAGCTCTTGAACACGCTGAAGCGTCCCAAGCGACGTCCTCTGCCCGAATTCTACGAGGACAATGACATCGAGCTGGAGATTGCGGCCAATCCCAAGGATCCGAACGCACCGAAGCCCGAGGGCAGCACCATGACGCCCGTGCAGGGTGAACAGCTGGTGGTGATGTCGGGCCTGTCGCGCACTCTCGAGGCTGCCCTGCAGCGATACGGTGGGAATTCACCAAAATCACCGATGGCGACAGTTCTGGATCCCAATGGGAAGATGACAACCACACTGACGTATGGGAAGCTGATGTCGCGCGCCCAGAAGATCGCCTACGCACTCTCCACGAAGATCTTCAACAAGGGCTCAGAACAGATTACGCTCAAACCTGGAGATCGAGTCGCTCTCGTCTATCCCAACAGTGATCCTCTCAAGTGAGTTGTGTGAGACTTTTATAGTGTGGAGTATTTACTAATATCTCTCGTGTATTTTTGCAGCTTCATCACAGCCTGGTACGGATGCATGTTCAGAGGCCTCGTTCCACTGCCAATCGAGCTGCCTCTGTCGAGTTCGGATTCACCGCCTCAGCAAGTGGGCTTCCTGTTGAGTTCGTGCGGTGTCCAGATCGCGCTCACATCCGAGGCGTGTCTCAAAGGTGAGAATATGTCTGAACACAGATGTGTGAATGAAGAATTATGTGATTTGTCCAAAAGAACTGTGACTAAATCCTTTAATTCTTCCATGCAGGACTGCCAAAGTCCACGACGGGAGAGATTGCGAAATTGAAAGGATGGCCACGACTTCACTGGTTCGTCACGGAACACCTGCCCAAGCCGCCCAAGGATTTCAACATCAACAACGTGCGCATCAACGAGGATGCCTTGTCGTACATTGAGTACACGACGGACAAGGAGGGCAGCGTGATGGGCGTGACAGTGTCGCGTCAGGCCATGATTAATCACATTCGCGCCCTCACGATGGCCTGCCACTACACGGAGGGTGAGACTGTGGTGTGCGTGCTGGATTTCAAGCGTGAAGTCGGTTTGTGGCACAGCGTGCTCACGTCAGTGCTGAACGGAATGCACGTTCTCTTCATTCCTTATGCACTCATGAAGTTGCGTCCGTCATCGTGGATGCAATTGATCACGAAGTATCGCGCCTCGTGCTGCCTCGTGAAGAGTCGCGATCTGCACTGGGGCTTGCTGGCGACGAAGGATCACAAGGACATCTCGCTGTCGTCGCTGCGGATGCTGCTGGTGGCGGATGGCGCCAATCCGTGGTCGCTGTCGAGTTGCGATCAGTTCTTGAGTGTGTTCCAGTCGAAGGGTCTGCGGCCAGATGCTATCTGTCCGTGCGCCAGCAGTTCAGAGGCTTTCACGGTGTCACTGAGGCGACCAGGACGCGCCCAGGGTGGCTTCAGTCAGTCCGCCACCACGGGCAGAGGCGTCCTGTCCATGGCCGCCCTGTCGCACGGCGTGGTGCGCGTGGACAGCGAGGACTCCCTCACGTCGCTCACGCTGCAGGACTGTGGCCAGGTCATGCCAGCCACGACGATGGTCGTGGTGCGATCCGAAGGGCCGCCAGTGCTGTGCAAGACCGATCAAGTGGGTGAGATCTGCGTGACTTCTGGCGCCTCGGGTACGTCGTATTACGGTCTGGATGGACTGACGAATGCGGCGTTCCGTGTGCAGCCGATGCCCGAGGAGCCGCCGGAGCCGAAGGAAGGGGCGCCGCCGCCGCCCGTGAAGCCCATCAGTGACGATCAGTACGTGCGCAGCGGTCTGCTGGGCTTCCTGGGGCCCGGCGGTCTCGTGTTTGTCTGTGGCTCACGCGACGGCCTGATGACCGTGACGGGACGGAAGCACAATGCGGACGACATCATTGCCACCGTGCTGGCTGTGGAGCCGATGCGCTTCATCTATCGCGGCCGCATCGCCGTGTTCAGCATCAAAGTGCTGCGCGACGAGCGCGTGTGCGTGATTGCAGAGCAGCGGCCCGATTGCTCGGAGGAGGAGTCATTCCAGTGGATGTCACGAGTGCTGCAGGCGGTGGATTCCATCCACCAAGTTGGCATTTACTGTCTCGCTCTCGTGCCACCGAATCACCTGCCAAAAACTCCATTAGGTAAGAGTTTCCAGCCACACTTCTCGGCAATGCCGCTCAATTCACGATTTCTCTCGCTCTCTTTCGACAGGAGGAATTCATCTGTGTGAGGCTCGTCGGCGATTCCTCGAGGGATCTCTGCATCCAGCTAATGTGCTCATGTGTCCACACACGTGCGTCACGAATCTGCCGAAGCCGCGCGAGATGCACCAAGGTGAGTCCTTTTGACCAATGAAATCCTCCAAATAGATGAAAGACGCCTCATTTTGTTCCCCCTTCTCAACTATTGTTCTGCTCGTTTTTTCTTCTAATCTTCTCTATTTAACCCTGTGTTTATTGAACGCAACGTTTTCAATGATATTTTGTTTTGTGTTTGCTGTTGAAAATGTGGAAGCTTCTGTTGGAATGATAGATTTGATAAAGAATGGCTAAATGTAGGAATTGAGAATCTGCGCAATATTTTATGTAATTTACAAGATTATTAAAAAAAATATATATATATATTTCAATTAGAATTGATCTCATATTATTATATTCTGTTTATTCTTGCATTTGAATAACACAATATCTTGTAAATACATAAAATATTGATTAAAGTTACGTGGGAAAAATCACAAAGGGTGAAAAAGAGGGTTGAAATGTTTGAGTTTTTAGTGTTTTATCTTTTGTGAAATTGTTGTTTATAACATGATTATGAAAGCTACAGATAATGTTGCACACTTTTACATTATTTCTCAGTTTCTTCTCGATTTATTTCTTCCTAGATGTTTTGATATCTCTTAGAACTCTATTCTTTTTGTCTTCTTCACTTGTTTGAAAGTGCTTCTCACTTATTGTTTGGACTTAGAAGAAATTCTTATAAATTGGCTCTATTTTGTGTTTATTTTTTATTAGTCCTTTTCTATCATTTCAAATACTGTTCTGTTTTTCAATTTTGATTTTTAAATTTTTCTTTCTAAAAATTCACATGAAATAGTGTTGTTTGAAAGATTTCTTCCTGTTTATCAAAAAACGAAAAAGAGAAAACCGAGAGAAAAGGTTAATTGTGAAAATTCATTAAAATTCACCTTTCTTTTTTCTTTCCTTCTATTCTTTTCTTGCAAACACTCACAAAAAAACACAAACAAAATACACGCAAAAATCACACACAAACCACACATTGAAAAAAAAATCATGCAACAATGAAATACGTGAAAAAAATGGATGCAAAAATGGTTGCGAAAAATGTGGGATGTGGAACAAACAAACAAACAAAAATGTGTGATCTCCTTACTGAACTCCTCTCACCTACTGACTCTCGCTCGCAATAACGCATCGCAATCTGTCGCTCACAAATTAACACGCCCCCTCAAATAAAAATGCCCAAAACTGTGGCTAGGCGCACTCCAACCACAAGTTCTATCTGGAAGTTCATCTGGATGTGTTACAGACACGTCTGTGGGTCCGGCGTCAGTGATGGTGGGAAATTTGGTGCAGGGCAATCGCCTGGCTGTGGCGCAGGGACGCGATATTGGCCTCTCGGATGACAACGAAAGGAAGGTGAGAATGCGAGCAAAGAAGAGCAGGATTTGAATTCCGGAGCATTGTCCAGAATTTTCGCACAAAAAACCTCAAATTTCACTGAAAAACCTGGAAAATCTTTAGAGAAAAAATATCATTTAAAGTGTATTTACATTGTAAGAAGAATCAGAGTCTAAAGGATACAATAAAACGCTGAAAATTGCAAAAATACACATAGAAATATAGATGGAAAAAGATGGCTTGGGTTAGTTTTTCAAAATGGCCACCCGACGCTTCAAGTAAAGTGGAAATATTCCACTCGCAAATAATTCTCTAGCATTTGAGACGAAATATTAAGCTAATTACGAGTGAAATATGAAATTTTTAACAATATTCTGTATTGATTAAGTACAAACTTTGATTAGAAAAGTCTAGAAAATTAAAATGGCAGCTATGTGCGACGCTAGCGCCTCTGTGACGCTTATGAAAACAATTCTAAGACGATGCTCCGGAAGTATGTATGTTTGTACGAGAGTTCAGCCTAATCCTTCTGCCTTTCAGCACCAACTGATCACGGCCGTTCTGCGCTGGCGAGCCAACTCTTCGCCGGATCACGTGCTGTACACATTGCTCAACTCGAAAGGCGCTGTCGCGAAGACACTCACGTGCTCGGAGCTGCACAAGCGCGCCGAGCGAATTGCGGCGCTGCTGCAGGAGCGCGGCAAGATCAATCCGGGCGATCATGTGGCGCTGATCTTCCCACCGGGTGTGGATTTGATCTCTGCATTCTACGGATGTCTGTACTTGGGCGCCGTGCCAATCACCATTCGTCCGCCGCATCCACAGAATCTCACCACGACGCTGCCGACAGTGCGAATGATTGTGGACGTGTCCAAGTCCGTGATCATTCTCTCCATACAGAATCTGGTGAAGTTGCTCAAGAGTCGCGAGGCGGCGTCGTCCATTGATCCGAAGAGTTGGCCACCGATTCTCGACATTGATGACAATCCGAAGCGCAAGTTGGCCACCATCGCCAATGCCACGATCGATTCCACGGCCTACGTGGACTTCAGCGTGTCCACGTGCGGCCGCCTGAGCGGCGTGATGATCACGCATCGCTCGCTGAGCAGCCTGTGCTCCAGTCTCAAGCTGGCGTGCGAACTGTACCCCAGCCGACACGTGGCGCTCTGCCTGGATCCGTACTGTGGCCTGGGCTTCGCCATGTGGACACTGATCAGCGTCTTCAGCGGACATCATTCGATCCTCATTGCGCCCTATGAAGTGAGTTTGACGACGAAACCCACTAACATATCGTCGTCTCTCTAATGCACTCATTCTCATCCTCAGGTGGAAGCCAATCCGAGTCTTTGGCTCTCAACACTGTCGCAATATCGCGTGCGTGACACTTTCTGCTCATACGGCGTGATTGAATTGTGCACAAAAGCGCTGAGCAATTCCATTCAGGCACTGAAGCAGCGCAATGTGAATTTGGCGTGCGTGCGAACGTGCGTTGTTGTTGCCGAAGAGCGACCGCGCGTTCAGTTGACGCAGCAATTCTGCAAGCTCTTCCAGGCGCTCGGGCTCAACACGCGCTGTGTGTCCACGTCGTTTGGGTGTCGCGTGAATCCGGCGATTTGCGTGCAAGGCGCCAGTTCGGCAGAGAGTGCGCAGGTTTATGTGGACTTGCGGGCGCTGCGCAACAATCGAGTGGCTCTGGTGGAGCGCGGAGCTCCGAATTCGCTGTGTCTCATCGAGTCCGGGAAACTGTTGCCAGGCGTGAAGGTGATCATCGCCAATCCGGACACGAAGGGTCACTGCGGAGATTCGCATTTGGGTGAAATTTGGGTGAGTCAAGAAGTCTCGTTTAACAACGATTAAGACTTTTCTCGATTTTTCATCGTTTCATCTTTAAAAGTAACATTCTTACAGCTTCAGCACATCTGTGTGATTGTGAGAAAGCAAACCAAAAGTGCTTTTTGATGAGAATTATGGCTCTTTCACAGGTCCAATCGCCGCACAATGCCGATGGCTACTTCACAATCTACGGCGACGAGACGGACTACAACGATCACTTCAATGCGAAGCTCGTTACGGGCGCCACGACGGAGACATACGCGCGCACAGGCTACTTGGGCTTCTTGCGGCGCACTGAGTGCTCGCAGGCGGGCTCCATTCTGGACGAGACAACGCCCAGCATCGCCAGTCGCGACAGTGACAACGAGTCGCTGCATTCGCAGACGCAGACTCAGCTGCACGCTGGGCCGCCAGGCGCCGGACAGGATCAGGAGCTGCACGACGCCGTGTACGTCGTGGGCGCACTGGACGAGGTCATCACGCTGCGCGGCATGAACTACCATCCGATCGACATCGAGAACTCGGTGCTGCGCTGCCACAAGAAGATCGCCGAGTGGTGAGTGACTGAAGAGAGGGTGAGAAAGGGCTGAATTGTAGCGATTCCTCTTGCAGCGCCGTCTTCACGTGGACAAATCTTCTGGTGGTCGTCGTGGAGTTGGACGGAAACGAGTCCGAGGCGCTGGATTTGGTGCCTCTCGTCACGAACACGGTAAGTAATTATGACAATTTTGCTATGATTTGAGGAAATTTCGAGCCTTCAAAGCGACATTAAGTGCTTTTGATAAATTATTGAGTCAATTTATTTCAAAATTCACAAATTTCTGTTGAGTTTTCTCAAAAAGATTATGTAGATTTGATCAATATTTGATAGTTGATTGACGACTAATCGATCGGCCATTGCAGGTCCTGGAGGAGCATCAGCTGATCGTGGGCGTGGTGGTGGTCGTCGACCCGGGAGTCGTGCCAATAAACAGCCGCGGTGAGAAGCAGAGGATGCACTTGCGCGACGGCTTCCTCGCCGATCAGCTGGATCCGATTTACGTTGCCTACAACATGTAAAAGCATCGCCGCAATCCAACTGCTGAGAGTATTTTCTAGTGTGCAAAAATGAGCCTAAAAAAAAAGAAACTGCATTGTTACGAAGTAGGATAATTATTTAGAAGACGTCTTTCTTTCCTTTCTCTTGGCCATTTTGGGCGTGAGATTGTGGAATTGGCGAGTGTTTGTGGGGGAAAGAATAAAAGAAAAAGATTAGGTTAATAAGAAAAAACACGTAAAGAAATCACACACACACAATATATTGATGAATAATCATTGAGTATATATATATATATATGAGGAAAAGTAACTATATAATGAATATTATAGACTCTTGTGATCCCTCCTTTTTTAAATTGTATTAATTCATCTCTACATTTTAATCTTTATATGATGAGAGAATGACACAAATGCCAATTTTTGTATAGTGGAAAAGATGAAAGAAGATGAAGAAAAAAATGTTGTTCTAACTTTGGGCAAATAATATTTAGGTGATTGATTGACAAAAAAGGAGAAAGAAAAAAAGATGAAGGGAAATTGTAGAAAAATTCGGCCCAGAAGAATGAAGAAAGAATATTACATATTTCGCTAAATTTGACATTTTTTTTAGGGCAAAAAAAAATTAGTTTGCAATGTTCTCAATTGCAGTAATTTTTGCATTCAACTTTATACTTTGTATAATTTTTATTCTAGTCTCTCTACAATTTATTATTATAATGACTTTATTTTTTGATGATGATGAAATGATGGCAAAGTTGAGATGGAAAATATGCACTCTATATATTATATAAATATTTTATTTTATAATTATGCAATGAAAGATTGTGCTTGACAGAAAAGAAGAAGAAGGAGAAAAAAGCAGATAAGAATGTGCAAGATAAGTATTCTGACAAAACTTCTTTTACACACAATGCAATACAATTCCCTCGATGACTGATCACATATATTGCTCTGTATTTACACCACAACAAATGACAACATTTAGGAAAACTTATATGTGAGGATTTTATGGATAAAAATTCTTGCATTGCATTTTTTGCGTAAATCTAAAAACACTCAAGAAACTTTCCCTGCCCCGTAAATGTAGATGTTGCAACTCTAGGTAAAAAAAAAGTCGTGTATTGGAGATAAAGAAAAAGGACGCGAAGTAGTAAGATTGATATGAAATCCATAGAAGAAGAAGAAAAGAAAAATTAAACTGCACAATATGTACTCTTTTTTATTGTAATCCAGGGAGAATTATTATGCAAAATGACTTTTTGAGACATAAAGAAAAAACTATTCAACCAATCTTTGAGGAAACTTTCAAATGAGAAAAAACTGTAGCGTAAATTGAGGATTTAAAGAAAATTACAAAAACATATCTTCTGTCTTTCAATGGTTGATGACTTCAAGAGGGCTGAAAGACTTCTTTTCGTTCGTTACGCACCGAAATAAGCACCGGTTTGAAATTGCAGTGCGAAGTTTGCCGCGAACGCCCTCGAAACTCCCGGGTGTGGCGCTGCCAGCGCTGAGTGGACTTTTCCAGTGCGGTGGATGTCAAAACAAAAAGGGAGACGAAAAAAGTGAACTCATCAATGGTGAAAATTGTTCTGTTGTTCTCTTTTGCCAAATAAAACGTAAAAATTCTCCGTAAACTGTTTCGAAGGAAGTCCAAATCGAAAAAGCGACGCATGGAGTCAAACCTTGAGAAAGTGCTGAATCCCAATCGAAGTCTGTGCGGTCAGCTGTACAAATACACCAATGTCGTGAAGGGTGAGGTTAATTGGGCGCTCCGCCCTTGCACTGGATGCTGATTTGTGTGTGTCCGGCAGGCTGGCAGTATCGATGGTTCACCGTGGACGCCCAGGCTGGCACGCTGAGCTACTATTTGTGCGACACATCGACATTGAGTGACGACACGAATCCCCACAACGTCGGGACGGCCGTGACGCCCAAGAACCAGACGCCCCGAGGACAGGTGCACCTGGCGTGTGCCGTCGTGTGCCCCAGCGTCGAGGATTCGCGCACGTTCACAATCAGGTGAGCTCGCGAGACCTGCACAACCTTCAGCGTGGCCTCGATCCGCGATAAGAGGCGCTGTGACGATTGACGGGCGTTTTTCTTTTCTTTGCCAGCTGCGCGTCCGGCGACACGCTGAAGCTGCGCGCCTCGGACGCCCGCGCGCGCCAGGAGTGGGTGGACGGACTGCGTGCCATCACGGAGAGCCACACGCTCGCGATCGCCAACGATTCGCTGCCGGCGCGCGAGCACCTGGCGGCGTCTGACGCAATGGGGGCGGCGCGCCAGCAGCTGCAGGCCACGGAGCTGTGCAACGCTACGCTGGCGCGCACCATCGAGGCCGTGTCGGCGCCACTCAACCACACGGACCCGGATCTGCTCACGCTGAAGGCGCTGTCGGCCGCCAACACGCAATGTCTGATCCAGTGCCTCAACCTGCTGCAGCGCTACACGGAGATCCAGGCGGACGCGCGCTCCGAGGCGGCCTTCTAGCCGCCGGCGCGCTGACCGGCCCCCCTCGAATCGACGCCCCCTCTGTCCGGGCACACGGCTTCGCAGCGACGCACAATCGCGCGGGACGAGCGCCCCCTCCCAGTCGCCCTCCGCTTGGCGTCCGGCGCAACGAGCAGTGTGCAATTCCTTCTCAACACATTTCCATTTGAGTCTAATAAAAGGTATTGATTTGCATACGACACTTCCATGCTTGTTTCGCGGGCGTAAATGGGGCGGAGCGAAAGCAGCGACAGAGAAGAGGTGAGGCTGAGGCTGCTGAGACGACGAATTAGGGTTAAATCGAGGGTTAAATGGCGAACTCAAGGTTCCATTATTTCCCAAATATGCGATTCGAGTGAAAAAGAGGTAATATTTTCAAGTATTAATTAGTTTAGATGGTCTTGAAGACTTCCTTGCAGGTTTAGATGAATTAAATGATTAAAAAGCTTTGATTTCTATTGAGTTTTGCTGATATCAGAACAGCCATTAGTCGCTCTTTAGTCAATAATATTTATTCACTCAACTAATTTCGAGCAGCAGAAGAAGGTGAAGTTCTTAAATTGTCAAGTTATATGACAATTTTTAAGATGCCTCTGGTATTTCGGCAACATTTCAATTCGCTCGCGATGAAAGGATTATTAAATAAAGTGTCAAACATGCTGAAAACGCTTTGCAAATATAGAAAAAGACGGAAATTTCGCCTCCAAAAGCAGTTCATTGTTTAATCATCGCGACACAGAAAATACAGAATCCAAATTTGGAATAGATGAAAAATGCCAATTGAATCAATATTTCACGTCGCAAGTCTGGCAATTTCGAGTCAATTGGATTCTGCACAAGTTTCGCACTTCACTTTGAGTGGAAATTGGGTGGAAAATAGCTGCAAAATGCGAACTGTGAGATATTGCTGTGCCTTCCTGATCATTGTCTTCCTCTTGATTCTCATCTGAGTGCGCTTCAAAGGGTTTCCACAAGTGAGTGAAAATCACATCTTCAAGCCTCTTCTCTCGATCCTTAAATTGTCTGTCTTTTTTGCAGAATTCCTTCCTCGATGTGGCGATGAAACACGCGAAGATGTTCAAGAAATTTTCTTTTATTGACAATATTCCATGTAATACAGGTTACATTTATATTTTCTGGGTTGTTTAATTAATAATTATCATATTCAAGCTCACACTTAATCTATACTTTTTTTTGTGTGTTTCTTACTGAATCTCTCGTCGACTTGGCTTCCTTTCTTTTCTTTTCATCCTCTTGTCTTTTGCCAGCGAAAAAGAGTCACTAAAAAAAATACAGTGAGAAAAATCATATCCGCTGGTCAATTGCCTCTCTTATTTCTCATCCAATCAATCAATGAAAATAAAACATTGCAAAGAAATTAATATTTTTCTATGATATCATCCACAATTGTAATATCCTTTTTCCTTCCACATCGTCCCAATATAATTGTATAAGTGTATGAAACATTTAAAATGGATTAAACTTTTACGTGTCTATCAATTTACTTTAGTTCATTTATCAATATGTATATATAGTTCCAAAAATTTACCTACTAATTCTTTATTTATCCCATCTCTTTTACTTCATTTACCAATAATTTTATTTACCTTTCCGTCATAGCTTGTCATGCCGTTTTGTTTTTCTTTCATAGCAAAGTTGTTCTGATCGTCTTCTAGTTTTACTGCAAATATTTTGTTGATTATTTTTGCTCAATTATCGTCACAACATCTCTTTTTGGCATTTTCTATCATCATCATCATCATCATCATCGTCAATCCCACAAAGATTCTTAGTCGCAAAAAACACATTTAGAAAAGGGGGAATTTTGGTGTTTTCTCTCCATCTTCTTCCTCATCTCAATCGCGTGGGAGGGAAAATATGGGGGGAAAAAATGGGTCTTAATTTTGACATTCAATACGAAATTTCTTTTTTTCTAGCAAAATTCTTTGTCTTGAGCAAAAATAATGCAAAAGTTTCACAATCTCTCGCCTTAATTCAAGTTTTTTTTTCCACAAAAAAAAGAGAGAAAACAATTTTACAAATATTTTTTCCACTTTTATCCTCTTTTTTTTCAAAATACCCACCAATTTTTGTTCGTAAATTTAATCCTCTTTTTTTTAAACAAGTTTCAATATAATATATTTTTAAAAATACACATTATATCATTTTTTTATCTCTTCACTTTCTCTCATGTAAACAAATTTCCAACATTTCGTTTTTTTTTAATCCTTGCATTACTTCAGCGCTTCTCAACTTATATTCGCCTTCCTGCACGATCTTCAATGCTTCCGTGCGCGCGGAAGGAAATGAACAAATTCCCCTTCAAATATGGCGGCGTGGAGTTTTGTTTTCAGAAAACAAAACTCACTGTTTTCCTCGCGTCCATTTTATAGTTTCTATTTCCTTCGTCACTAAATGTCACTCTTTCATAATCCTTTCCTACTTCTTCTTATAGTGTTTAGTTTATATTCAAATTTTTTTTTCCATTAGAAAAACGAGTCTCTAGTAATATTTTCCATTTTTTTCATTTTAATCTTGAGAGTATTTCTTTATTTGTTTAATATTATATTTTACGCATTTTTTTTGATTTTCTCAAACATCTTTCACTTGTGTGTGTTTGGTTTACTATTTAAAAAAAAACAGAGCTTCTTGTTTCCTATTCACTTGATCTAAATTGTAAGTCTACTTCCAAAGGTTTATCCTTCTCTTTTAATCCTTTAATTCCTCAAATGTCTCACATGTCTTTCAGTGGGACGTTTGCGTATAAACCGTAGGAGAAAATCATAGCAAACAAACTTGAGAGAATGACTTTCTCGGTGCTTTTCACGCAAATTCTTTGAGCTTCCTTCCCGCAAAGTTTGCTAATTTCTATGGTTTTCATTTTGCTCTGTGTAAAGTTACTTTTGTAGAAAAACTTTGTCAAAAACCATTTGGCAGTGATTTTTTTCTCTTGTTTTCCCCGAAAAAAACAGACTTGATTTTTTGGTATTTTCGATTTTTATGCGGTGTTGAATGAATAGAAAGTAAAATCAAAGATCCCAAAGAAACAAAAAAATAAAACCTTTCAAAATCAAGTCTTTATTAAAAATTTGTTCATCAATTACAGCTTAATAAGAAAAAATCTCGTCAATGATTTCTTTTTTTTTCATTCACTATTTCTATTACACAAAAAAGAAGATCAATTTCTATAGAAGATTTTAAATGTCAGATTTTATGTGAATATTTTTCTATACATTTTTACTTATAAATCGGAAAAGACATTAAAAAAAAAACGAGAGAAAAAGTATTACAAAACGTTACAAAAAAAAACTCATTTGTCAGATGATTTGTGTGCAATACGAAAAAAAAATTGAAAATCCTTAAATTATCATGAAAAAATCCTTATGGTCGAGTTGTGAATACAATTTTACAGCAAGTTTTCATATTTCTGTTTTGTAAATTACATTTTTCTTAGCTCATAGAAACTGTATTCATTGCAAAAAAAAAGTATATAAAGGGCGGTTTTTCTTTATTACTTATGTTGAAAAAAAAATTCTGTGTTACATTCTATACAAAATAATATATATAATAAAAATATATAAAATAATTTCTATATAATTCCACAGAAAAAAATGTGTTGTCATGAGAATATTTTGTTTCCTAACGCACTATTTCTATGTATTTCGCTCATTATTATTTAAATTGCCATTTTGTTTCATTTCATTAATATGTAGAACCTCTCCAGAGTATCGACTTTTCCACTGTATGGGAAAAGAAGATCAAAAAAATTACTCTTCTTCAGTTTTGGAATCATCTCTAGTTATGGATTATCAAACCCTCCTCGCTTAAGCATTTGCCTAATTCAATCATCTAATGCTCCGCCTTCAATTCACTTCGTCATTCTTCTTCTACAGTAATAATTAAAAATGTTAATAAGAAAAACCATGTTTGTGCGTTTCTTCACGACATCCTCGCATTTACTTTGACTCCTCCTTCTCTTTGTTCTCCTCCACCTTTTCCGTCTTCTCGTCGGACTGCAAAAAAGGAAAGAGAGAGAGATGAAATGTTAATTTTCCCGAATAATTATTATTTCGAGTGTAATAATCTCACTTTGTCCTTTTCTAGCTCCTTCTCGATCTTCTCGGTTTCTGCGCTCTCCTGCTCGGTTTTCTTCTCAGTTTCACCTTCCTTGCCTTCCTTAGCCTCGGGTCTGGAAGTGAAATGATGAGGGAAGAATTAGGAAAAATGCCAGAGACTCATGAAAGCTTCTTGGATGAAATTGATCTGTGATAGTTCTTGTTTGGATTTTGATTCAACAAATAGAGAGATAAATAGGAAAATGATAGTTTTAGATGTTTTCCTTCAATATTCCAAATCTTTTGCTTAGTAAAAACATCAGAAAAGTCATTAATGTTTAAGCAAATTCCTGTTTTCTTGGTAAATTTACTGACATTTCTGAAGAAAGTACTGACAAAACTGACTAATTAGTCTTGCATATCACAAGAATCTCAATTAATACACGCAATATGATGATTTCACTCACTCTGGCTTTGGTAGATGTGCGTTCAAGTCCAGTTTGGTGCAGATCTCATCCCAGTCGGGGAAGCAGCGCTCCTTCATTCGCGAAACGTGGCCCACGAGATTGGGGCACGAGGCCGACATGAAGTCCCGCAGTGGCAAATTCACGTCTTTCGAGATGAAGTGGAGTTGCGAGAGGACGGCAAATGACACCACATCGAGCTGCGGAAGTGCAAAAGAGTGTGCAATTAGTGGGTTGAAATTGTGTGGGAGCGCGATGGAGGAACTCACAGTTGTTGGCTCGTCTCCGAAGAAGAATGGCTTGTCCGCGAGCATGTCAGAGAGCACCTTGAGGTCGTGCTTGCCGAACTCCTCGATCTCCTCCGGTTTGTGCACACCCATTCCTTGGGCTTTGACTTTCTTCGAACCCTGGAACCACTAAACGTGAGACAGGGATCAAACATTTACGATACATAGCGGATGAAATGGATTTTATTCATCATGCCTCGATTTCTTCTGCAATTTCTGCATGGTTCAATTGACAGAGAAGTGAAAAGAGGAAGAAGAAGAGTGTAGAAGACAACTCTGAAGACAGTATATGTATATATTTTGTTAATGATCTTGTCTTTTCTTTCTTCACATTTATTTTCTTTTTACATTCTTTCAAACACAGAGAGAGAGAGAGACAGAAAGAGAGAGAAAGGAAGAAAATCTCTCAGAAGCGGAAAAAGAGAGTTTCATTGCTTCTTCTTTTTGTTTTCTTTACGCGCACAACAAAAGATGTGTCATCATTCGAGAGAAATTTGTTAATAATTCTGTGTCAATGAGAATGATTGCGTGAGAATTAATGTAATTATGATTATTATGTCTTTGCTTAAAATCTTATATCCCATCCACTATCGTGTATTTTTGTCTACATTGCAATAAATATTGTTTTCATTCTTTTAAACTACATTTCACACACACATACACACTTGCAATTATTATTTTAGTTGGTAAGAAGATGGCTGAGGAGACAGACATGAGAGACCAGAAAGCAATTGAATTTCCTTCAATGTGTCCATAGGATTTCATTGCCCACAAAGCTCATATAATCGCGCAAGCAATATTAACACAAAACACTGCACACAGTTTTACTCAATGAACTCCAAATGAGAGGAATTTCTCTTGAAACTGATCCGAACAAAATTTTCTTCACTCGTAAACACAATAAGAGAAGAAGAAGAAAAAAATACCATGGAAAACAATGCCGATGTAACATTATGTACGTGAATTGAAAAAAAAATTAAAATAGAGTTTAGCTTATTTTGCACAAGATTCCAATCATGGATTCGCAAAGAGAGTCGTGAGTTAATTGAGCGTGAAAATTTATTTAAACTTTAAAGAGTTGGAAGTGCGTTTTAGAGGCTTTCGGACGCTTCTTTCACCCCCTTTTTTATGTTTCTCCCACTAGTAAATTGCAATTAAATTCAACGGGCGGCCCATTGTTCTCAGCCACTGAGCCATATTCGACTTGCCTTTCTGGTCAGTCATTCCGCAGAGGGAGAGCTTTAGCGGGGAAGAGAGAGGGTTGCCAGGCGGACGTGTGGGCGTGACAAAGATTGTAGAAATGGCACAAACCTTGCGTCCATAGGAGAACTTGAAGAAGAAGTTGAGGATGCCGTTGGGAATGCGCGTCCCCAGCGCGTGCTGCAGATTCACTTTGTAGCCCTTGAGCACGAGTTCGGGGAATTTGGTCCGCCACCAGAACAGCACCCACACGAGGTGGTTCTCAATCATCGAGACTGTGGCGTGAGCGATGTTCTTCTGCTCCTGTGTCAAGCCGGCGTCGATGTCCTGGTTGAACTTCTGTGTCAGCTCCTTGATGATGATGGCCGAGTCGGCGACCTCTTCGCCGTTTAGCTCGATAAACGGAAGGAGGCCCTTCTTGGAGCGGAACTTCGTCTTGTGATCCACATTCTAAGGGCGACAGAGAAGAAAACAGTCATTAGAAATGGCAAAGTAAGCATTACTATTACTGTTGTCTGCGACTTTCCAACAAATATCTACCGATTTGTGTCGACATTAGCAAATATTGCTTAAGAAATAAGGAAATTTACAGCTTAATAGCAAAAAATAAGTGTATCATAAGACTGTCTTTCTAAAGTCTAGTAGACTGTCTCAAGTAATGTCCATTAGATGTCACAAGATTGACTCCATTTCTGTCCTATGATAATATCAGATCGTCTTACGAAATCGCTATGAATGTCTATATTTTTAAAATATCACATTTTACGTAATTGAATCGAAAATTTAATCATTTTATCGGTCGAAACAACTCATTAACTAAACTCGCTAAGCGATAGCTGTGCTTCTCTGCACTCTGTACTGAATATGATTCTCGTTAAAGTACCCCAAAATGACTATTAGGCGTACAATCCTCGAGAATTACTCTCAAAATGTGTTTCCTTATCAGGAGCTCAGCAAGGAGGCCTGCGAAGGCCTGGGAAACACCCAAATTTTACGACTTTTCCCACAAATTTTCACTTTCATCGCCGAACGGGTCAGAAACATGAAACCTATCTCAGGGATAAATCTCACATTTCCATTGAGGACCACTTGAATCCTTCCGGGCTCGCATCGAATCGATTGCATGACTCACCCCATATTGATTTTTTCCCACCCACCCTCGTCGCAATGGAATGGACTTCTCCCGGGTCGTATTGAATGATAAAGTGGACAATTGTGAACTTGCCATGCGATCGTGCGGACAAAGATGGGCTATTTTGAGGGCTTCGCGTCGCCCTAATGATGTCATAAGGAGGAATTTTTTGGAGCGGCTTTCGCTGAGGGTGGCAAAAGTGGGTGTGCGATGTTATCCATTTTCTCTCCACCAGCCAAGAGCAATGAACTTCCTCGTGAGAGTGGAATTTCCCTCAAATGGGGTGGATATTTCCGGGAGGGTGACTCTCTCTCTCTCTCTTGCTCTCTTTCTGTGCCAACACCGAAGTGCAAAACAGAGGGATTATTCTGCAATTTTTCCGGCCCTCTCGCGCTGCAATTGTGAAATGCAAATTTTCCACCCCGACAAATCAATAGAGTGGAAGATTTTTCGGCTTCTCCACAGCAACACTGACGAGGGCGAGGAAAAATTGTTGGGTTGGGCGCCGGACTGGAAATTTCGATGTCGATGCTAATGTAAATTGATGGAAAATTCGTGATAAGCATTAATTTGCCGCACACAGAAAAAATATATTCATGTTTTCACTCCATATTTTTTTTTGCACGAAAAGGTGGCAAATTACCATTTTTGTGTGTCAAATTTTCTGGCTGCAAAATTGGTGGTGTTTTCCTCACAATCTCGTGTGGGAAATCTGCCGCTCACTCTCTCTCTCTCTCTCTCGGCCCACTCGTGCTGCAATCGGGAAAACTCTTGCACTGTGGGTGGGAAAGTGTTGGCGAAATGTTCGCGACGTTGCCAGGGCAACAAGCTGGATATCCTGGCTCTTTCGCTCCTGCTCTCACTCGGGAAAATGGATCAATATGCCGACGAGAGCCACAGAATGCCGGGTGAGATGCTCCCAAAACAGCCTGACGAAGAGGCGGCGAGCATTGCCAACTGTGAGAACGGCTTTAGCCTATTTCCAAGCTCAGCGGATTTGTTTAAGGTGGAACTCTTCAACATTGAGGGTGATTTTGAGAGATTACGGAACAATAGCAAGCAAATTCGTGACGTATCTTAAGATTAGCTCATTAGATCAATGCCAAGTGACTCCAGCTTGAGGAGCCTCTGAGAGATGTCTTTCAAGTAGATTTCAAAGAAAGTTAAGCAATTTCTATCACTAATTTAACCTTAATTTGACACATTTTTAAGCAAATTTTCACTGCAATCAATCTGTGACGTTTTAGATATGAAAAAGCTTAGAAAAATACAAGTAAAATACTCAATAAATTATGTGTCAAACATGTTTCTGTATAAATACTGACTTTTTGGCTTACAACAGTTATATTTGGATGCGACCTTTGTTTTTGAGACCAACGAAGTGTTAATAACGAATGTATTTACTTTTTTCGGTAAATACTGTCGTTTCATCACATTTTCCCACAAAACTCCGAACAAGGCTAGAAGTTGAGAATCTTTTGAGGACAATTCCCACTTTTGGCCACGCACAGGATGATTTGCAGAGAAGACATTCTACAATTTCGTTTCGCAATATTCCTCTATGCACACAAATGCAAGCAAACACAAAGTCGATGGAGAGGAAGTAAATGAAAAAAAATGTTAGGCTCGATAGTGCGGGAAAAAAGTGTAATTATCTCAGAAATGTCGCTGTAAAACGTCAATACGGTGATTCATGCAAATTCTTCGCAAAGAGGAGAAACAATGTTACAGAGTGCGCAGAGCAGAAAATATGTTACGCAAATACTTTAGTATATCAATTTCTATTACAGTGATTAATCACCATTGCAACAATGGTTTGTTAATGGATGTTGTTGGATGAAAAAAATGCAGCTCTGGCGAAGATGAATTTGCCATTGAACACTCCTCAGGCGCGGAATGCCTCCCAATATTGGTCTTTCTAATTAATATTCTAGACAATGTTGTGTCGTGCAGAGAAAAATATTTCCTTCCGCAAATTGACACAAATACACCATCGAGAGTGTCTCTGATGGGAATTTCTAAACAGGTGTTTGCCCATAAATTTGCATTGTCAATAAGATCTCCTCTTGCTCAGCGCATATCTCAAAACGTGTGACGTTGAGAAATATGTATGTGATTGAGAGGGAAAATATGCGGCTGAAGTTGAGGTGGAGAAGAAAAAAACCAATCACAAATTGTGCACTTTGGTCCCCATTCAATTGGCCTTAAAACACCCCCAAAAATTCTACCTAAAATATCTTTTAATTTAATCAACTCTTGAAGGCTTCGTGATGAAGTTTTCACCGCGAAACGTGAGAATTGAGTGGCGGTGGAAAATAAAAACCTCCCCACAAATATCATTTTTCAGCCTCACCTCAGCGGAATCTGGCTGACTCAAGAGTGGCAGCGAGAAGTCCTGTGGTTTGGCACACAAGGAAGAATGTCAGGGAAAAAACCTCGCCTCGGGCGTGGCTGAAAATCATTCAGTGAGCCTCCCCCCACCCCTTAGTCTAATTAATTTTCACCCCTCAGCCTTTCCGCCGCTGCGAGGGTGGAAAGACGGAGAGATGGCCATAGAAAGGAATGTGATTGAGGAGAAGCAGCCACGAGAATTCGTCTAGACGCACATTTTGAGGGGGAGAAAAAAAGGGCGCGAAAATGGGTGAGGCGCGCGCGGCTGTTTGATTTATTAATTACTATTTGTAATAATTCCAGTCGCCTTTCGTGAACTTTCTTCAGAATTTTCACACAATTCTCCGCCACTTTCAGTCTCGTTATCACAATTCAAATTTCCGGTGAAGAAAGCCTGTGTTTTTTCTGCTTATTCACTCTTCTAAAGAATCACACAAGTTTTTGTGCCTTCGATTGAGATGTTGTGAAATAAGCCGCGCTTTAGCACTTGTTTGGAAAAACTCGTGAGGAAAAATCACGAGGCTCTCGAGAGGAAATTGCATTTCGAAATTGGACATTCTGCACCATGTTTCTCTCGTCTCACAGCATCGCGCGCGATCAAAAGACTCTCGGGCTCAAGTTGTGCGACAGAGAAATCCCGCGCGCAACTATGAAATGTGAAATGAAATTTCAGTCTCGAATGTAATCAAAAAGTTTCTGTGTTTCCGTTTCAAATGTCATGTTTTATGACTGTTTTGCTCCAACTCTCGGACACACTGGAAAATTGTGTCAATCTCTTTCCTCTCACCAGAAAGAGAGGGTTTTTCATTGTGGACAAAAGAGGAAGATGAGATGTGGCGGAATAACCTCCCAAGTGCCTCATTAATTATCTTCTCAATTTCTTCGATAAACAGACACCATTTGTGTTTGTCTCACACAGCCACTCCAAATTCAACCATATTCAGTTACATTTTAATTTACATACGAAATGTGCTCGAGTTTCCCTCACATTTTCAATGCTCTTGCCTCAATCTTAATAATTTTACGATTTACTCTCAGAGGAAGTTGTAAAAAAGAGACACAATTCTCGCCTCTACTTTTCACGACTGCCTGGAAAATCTTCGAAAACGAATTGGAGTTTGAATTCGTCCCTGGAGCTGAATTTCCGCATACAAATTAATACAAATCATAGGGCAAATTGAGGCATTTTGGCACAGAAGTGAGACACGATTCAACTGTAATAAATGAGCCACAAATGCCCTCTTTTTCCCTACATCTATGAATTTACTTGAAATATTCCATATTCTTCGCCGCTGATCTCACTTTCCCACTTTCAAGAAACAATAAAATAAAACAAGACAGTTACAATAAGCCATATTGCTGAAGAGGTACATTTCTGCATGCTTCTGCTCACTATCATTCCAAGACTCTTCTCATGAATTTGAAAGCATAACAAAAAGCACAATTTGCACCAATTTCTGAACAATGTTTGTCTCTCTCTCTGGACATTTTCCACCTAAACTTTAATTGGACACAAAGACATAAGAGTTTTATGATTGTGCGACCAAAGATTCTGCTTTACAGCAAAGAGAAAAGAAAAATAAGCTGCAAAAACGTGTGGCGCAATTGTGATTTGCCGTGGCAGGAATGAATTTTTTTTCGGACTTCTTTTGCGTGCCAATGAAGACGAGTTTCTATTATTCCGTGTCATAATTAGACAATCAAATTGTCAACTCATAATTATTTCCAGTCTCACCGCATTGAAATGCATGCATGGAAGGAATGTTGCATAAGCGCGGTTAGTTGTTGGCATTCCAGCACATATTAGATATCTTTGCATATTGAGTCAACTTTAATTATCAGTCGGATGGAATTTTAAATATTTCTCAGGAGAAGTTATATTCCAATCTTGTCTTCGACATTGGCCAATCCGACTGGTGTGTCTCAGGCTCTTGTTATTGGAGTGAATTTCTCGCATGGAGACTCTACTCGACACGTGCACAAAATGCGGGGCAATTTTCACAATTCATCTCTCGAAAATGAAAATTGAATTGGCCAAAAAGCAGTGGCCAAAGAGAGTGTGTCTATTTTTGGGAAGCTCTGCCATCTCTCACCCACATTCGGCGCAAGAGATCGTGACAAGAGCCCCCAAAGAGTCACGCTATCGCCTAGACGAGCGTCGGAAAAAAATAATATTGAGTGGAAAAATTTTCCTCCACCTTAATTGGGAATATTAATTTGCCAACTAATTGGATATACGTTATATTTTTAGGTGTGTTTTCTTGAATCACACTTTATCAGATATTTCTCAAGAAAAAAATGCCATCCAAGTGATGGCGCGACGAGATCACACAGAATGTAAACTTGAGAGTGAGATTCGTAAATATTCGTGATTTTGTGGCAAACACTGCGACCTTCCAAGACCACCAGAAAGTCACGTAAATCGACTGGACAGAATCAAAACACAGCGCGCGCCAGTCCTAATGAGAATATCACCAACGCATGAGAGTGATTTGGAAAAGTTGTGTACGCTTCACGGGGTGCAATTCAAACACCAGCGATGCGTGTTTACGCTGAACGATGCCAAATACACTTCACGCAAAGCAGATTTTATTTACACCTCTCGCGCCTCGATGACGTCAGTTTGGATCTCTGGCAGCGAATGCGTGGAAAGCCAAAGGGATCGTCGCACGAGGAAAAAGCACTAAATATTTATTCTTGCACATCACTCGCCGGAAAAATTATTGGGCTCACAAGCGGAGCTTGAGACAGAGTCTGAGGAGAGGAAGAAGAAGAAAAAAAAACACCCTAATTGTTTTCCCATAAATCACTCGCTTCGGCGGTAAATAAAATTGAAGCGATCGTCTGCATTTCAATGACGAGATTTAATTACGCGTAGAAAACACATTTAGACACACTATAAAGCGAGACACTCCTTAGAGCTTGACTTTTATTGTTTGTCTCCAATCACGCAATCATAAACAGTCTTCAAACTCCCTCAAGAGTGTCCCTAAAATCACTCATGCAACTGCAATGCTAAATGTGCTGAAGAATGAGTCGCTAATATGTTTTATTACAATAAAAGTGAAATATGTTCTAGTATTCTTATTTACTTTGCATTTTAATTAAAATAGAAATCAATAATTATGCCATGCGCACAAAAATACAATCAAAATTACAAATTTCGCCCGAATTATGGAGAAATATTTCATAGAAAAATCATTTAAAACGCGTTTTCAGCGCAATTTATCACTTTTACGCTGAACAAAATTAAAATAATACATTTTAAACATTGTTCGTGCTTCGAACTTGTGAAAATCACGATCAAAATCGATCAAAAGCAAGTTGATTTTCGCATGAAAATCTAATAATTCTTCACATTTCTATTTTTAAGTGCGCCAAGGAGCACTTGAAGCAAATTTTTATCGAGATTTTGAGCATGAAATAATTTCCATGGAGTCTTCGGAGACGGAAAGCTCCTTTGTTGCCCATCGTGGCCATTCTGTCTCTGTCGCGAGCAGAAAAAGCTCACCAGCATCATTGAAAAAAACACCCAAATATCAACTTGCGCAGGTGGTTTGTCTCACTTGGCGTGAGCAAAAAAGCTGCGTGATTCATTTTGGTGCGGAATTTTATACTACTTTATTATGTATATCGATAACCTTCAGAGTCAAACGCGTTATTTTTTCTAGTCTTCAGCAAAATAGTCTCAATACTTTTTTTCCTGCCGCATGTTTGTTTTTTTTTTCTTTTGGAGGGAAGCAAAGACAATTTGCGCGTCTTTTGAGGACAGAAACACTTTAGTGGCGCGGATTCCAGAGCCAATTGAACATATGTTCGCCGTTTGTTGAGTTGCGAGAAGGAGTCAATAAACTATTGACATCTGTGCGTCAATTAGTGTCAATTTGGACTTTAAATTGAATTCCATGTGCATTTTGCAAAATGTTCATTCACTCTTCCGCATTTCGTGTATCTGCGCGAATTAAAAGCTTATTATTAAACATTATTTTCAAAAAGAAGTATAATTTCTGCTCTACATAGAAAGTTGATCTGAATTCTTTCTCTCTCAGCTGGAGAATTAAATCCAATTTAGTGAATGAAATGTACACAAAAACCGAACAACAAATTTATTGTTAATACCCGCACTTATTTAAATGGATTATTAATTTATGCGGGGCAGAAAATTCTTCAATATTTCATGTTTTTTCCCGCTCTCTCTCTCACACACACACGTCTTGTGGTGGAAATTTATGATGGAATTACACGCTGTTCGCGCTTGTCGTGCATGAGAGTGAATTTTTGCTGGCGCGAAGAGAGAGAAGGGAGAATCATATTCATAGGGGCCAACACCAATTACCCAATTTTCTGACCTTTGCCACAATCAAATGGATTTGGCTTCGAGAGTGTATGATTTCCTCCCAGCGAAAGACGCACTCGAGAAGCCCTCGAGACTATTTTTAGGTCTGATTTTCACCCCCCGACTCCGTGTGGGTGGAAAAATGCTACAGCCAGAGACACAATTGCGTGCCATTTTGGGAAGTGAACAAGCAATTCTTTCAGCACTTCGCCATGGAATTAAATAATTTTTCATCCATTTCTTCTTGTGCTATACAACCAAAGATGCACTGTGGCAGCAGAATCATCAATTTAACTGAAACACCATTAACCCATTTACGCATTCAGTGTGAGAGAGATGAAGAGAAAGATGGAAAAGTAAGAGAGCTGTGCCTTTGTTGAAGATGATTTTCACTGCAAAAATTAGTCAAATTCCACAAGATCAGAGCTTTGGTCTCTTCGCGTATTTAATACCACATTATATAGTCATATATTATACTCTTTTCCCTCACACTGTGTGTTTTTCTTTCTGTTCGCTCAAATGCAGGTCATTAAACCGCATCGTCTTTATTCATTCAATTGCCTTAAGACTCACGCACACAAACATGACAGAAATTCAGCCACTATTATTGAGATCTTTAACCACTCTTTTTCCTCCACTTTGCAATTTTCCGTCCTTCTGATTTTTAATGGCGCCAAAAGCGCCACTTGGCAATTTCTCATGCGATTCTCACCGCCGCCACTCGCAAAACCTCCCCTCGCTCTGGACATTCAATTAATTTTTAATCCCCCTGTGAAAACGAGCGTGTTTCATTGAACTTTCCGGCATTTCTGCCTAAATTATTGATTATTCAATTAATGCTGAACTTGATGGGACATTTCACAGCCTGTCCTTTTCTATTGTCCCTCATCAAAGTGTTTCTCGGGCGTGATTCGCCCCATTTTTTTCGGTGTCACCGGAAAAAGAACGCAATCGTCAATTGCCAAAGAAGAAAAATCCCTTTAAGTCACATCAATTGTCGTTGACAAATTACCAGAGATTCAATTGCGTGCATTCATTGTTGAGTTGGAGAATATAGATAGAAAAAAAAGCTTTAAGACGTACAAAAGATTGTTGAAAGCCTCAAAACTTCAGATAAATTACTGAACAAAGTCAGAAAGTGCAATTAAACTTCTCCTTTCAGTACTTAAATGACTTTCAACGTCTTACAACACTGCAAAACTGCAGAAAGTTTTGTCATGACCTAAAGAAAAACGATATTTTGGAGAGAAAATAGATCAAAGAGCTCTTAAAAGAGAATTATAAAACTGATTGGTAGTATTAATTTGTGGGTTTTTTTTTGCATATATCAACATTTTTGCCAATCTGCTTCTTTCCAGATAGTCTGCAATCTTATTTTGATTTCTGCCTACAAATCTTGAGCTTCGTGATTAATTTCTGTATACATTTTCTTATTGCTTTCTCAAAAATTTCAGCTGCAGAAGCAACTTCTTATCCCAATCGTCTCTCATTCCCTGCACTCGTCTCTTCGCCCGCGGAGCAGAGAGACATAAAGAGCCTGCCCTTTGCTCTCATATCAATTTAATGGCTGAAGAATCTCATTTCGAATGTTTGTTGTATTTATCAAATGATTGAGTGGCTCGCAGAAGGCGCGCAACTCTCTCGAGAAATGTCTTACAAATACTACAGTTGCTCCACCACAATCTCTTGCCCGCTCCGCGCGCCAAATCATCACCCGTGAATAAACATGGTTAAAAAATTGTTGCTTCGCCCAAATAATCAAGAAATAAACACAAATATACACCACAAATGAACAATGAATCGCTCTTCTTCTCGGCGCGCGGGGGAAAAATCAAATATTTATACTATCTTGCAAGCGCGCGTATCTCTCTTTTTTTTTACACTTTTGAGCGTATATCGATGATTGTGATTGAGCCCAACGAGTTTTTGGTCAACTTTTCCTAGCCCGAGAGCAACTCTGTGCGACATCGCGTGTGCAGCAAAGTGGCAACACCGTACGAAGAGCTCGATGGCACCGCATGAGGGAAAAAACAACACAACACCGATGGTTCATGGCTGGCCATGATCACTTCTTCATCTCTCTCTCTCTCTCTCCCTCTCGCTCTCTTCGTCTTTCGCACACGAGAAAACGGCCCGTGATCGACACACACGGGAAGTGACGAATTCTTGCGCGCGATTTCGGGAGATGAAATCGGGGATTGATCTGAGACTGTGCAGGGGTTGGTCTAACCACCCACAGCCGTGTGAAAATCAACCCCACCCAAGGCTGCGCTGCGCGAACGCGGGGCTCTTTTTATACATACACTTTTGAGAAAGTTCGCAGAGTGTATCTGGGATTTTATGCGAGATTTGCACGATTTGTGTGCACTTGGTGTGGGCGAAAACGGTCATTTTCTCTCTTGGCCGATGTTTAGCACAAGAGCGGCGCGCAAGAGCGTGAAAATTACCTCGTATTTGAGAGCAGCCAGACGCAGCCATGTCTCGACTTTGAGACAGTACGGGGACAATGATGGCAGCAACGGTGTCCTGGAGAACTGGTACAGATACACCACATCCTTGTCGAAGTTGGCCTTATGCACGCTGTACTTGACCGGCGGCTCGGGCTTGGCCGCGGCCGCCTCCGTATGATTGTCGGCGTTGTTCTGGCCACCGCCCTCCGCTTTCTGTTCCTCCGCCGCCGCGCCGGCCGCGGTCTCCTCCTTCTTCTCCACGGGCGCCGTCTCCTCCACCACTGGGTTCTGCTTGTTATCAACTTCTCCGGCCATCTTCACACTTTTCCCTCTTTTTCACAATCAAACTCTGCAAATCGGCGTCTCTCTTCAGCACACTCCTCGGCTTTCTGCACGACGCTCTTCTGCCTGCCTTTGCGGTAGAATTAAAAACCCGGTGGCGTCGTTTTTCGTGTTCACACACAGTGTTAAATCTCTCCCTTCAGGAAACGCACACAACTATACTTATTTATTACTGAGAAAAGTCGCCCCTAAAAACTCTCCAAAGTACCAATATGGCCGGTATTTTACACTCAAATATAATTTCAACTTGAATGCACCCAGAAAAACTCTCCTTTTTTTGCTTCTCCCTTCACAAAATGCAGAGAGAGAAAAAATGTTGTAGAAAAAAATCCAGCGAGTCTCAGAATCACCACGGAATTTTTTTTGTCAGTTTTCCGCTCTTTTCTCTTATCCCGGCAAAATATCGCGATTTCTTCACCGGCAGAGATTTCGAGTCGCGCGACTTGAGTAAAATCGACACGGAAAGATTTGTTGGGCAAAAAATTCAATGGGAAATCTCACAGTGAAGAGATGCACAGAAACGCGTCTTTCTAACACAAGACCAACTTCACAAATGGCCTCACGGCTTTGTGTAGACTTTTCTCAGCATAAGAGATGCCACGCGCGCCTGTGTGCGTCAGCCTGGAGAAGTACACAAATGCGCTCTCGGTGGGGGAAAAGTCTCCGCTGCGGGGCATTTAAAAAGTGCATACTCTGGCACGGTGTGTGCGCGTTGAGTGGAGACTTTGCGCCGAAGATCTCTCCACAGCCCATGAATTACAAAATGTAGCCATCATGCAATTTGGCTTTGTGCCTCTCTTTGTCACAGAATGTGCGGGAAGAGTGTGCAGCAGAGCGTAAATTGAGCGGGGAAGTTGTCTCCACGCCGCGCTGAAGATGTCTCCAAATTGTGAGCCATCTCTCTCGGATCTGCGCCTCTGAGCGCGCAAGAGAGCAAAAGAGATGAGAGATGCTTCAGGACACACTGTTCTCAGTAGGGTGCGGCCTCGCACACCAACAGCCGAGTCTCCAAGAGTTTGCTACACTTCTTTGTGTTTGCTCTCCAGGAGCTGCGCGCATGGCGTTGTCATTCTCTCTCGCTCTCCGCGGTGTTTCCCTATTTCTCCCAAAGCCTCAACGCCGAACCCTCGCGAACGCACACACACTGGAAAGGGACGGGAGAATGAGGAGCGAAGCCGGGACAGAATCCAGAGAGGAGCGCTGGAAGAGATTGCGGGCGAGGGAAAGAGACATAGAGCGTGTGGGTAAAAATTCCAGTCTCTCTCCATGGCTCAGTAATTCGTGATGGATTGGAAAGTTAATTGGAGACTTCCGTCGTTTGGCGCGCCATTGAAGGTGAATTGAGTTAAATTTTTTGGAGGAATTCTGTCGAGGGCCACTGCAAAATTCCCTCTGACTGTTCTGGGCCGCCACACACAATTGCTCGTGAGACACTTTCACACAATTCCCATGGCATCTCTTGGTGTGACCCACAAAAGAGACCCAGTCGATTTTCAAATGCTCTGTGCATTCATTTAACCCTTGGAAGCACTTGGATTTCTATTATTGCTATTAATAAAGCTTCTGTATGTGCAATCAATCGGAAAATTCAAATGATTTCTCATCGATTTGTGTCTGCTAACAGTTATTTTGCCTCAACACACTGACGTGTTATCAGTTAACACATGTTAAATTTATGGCTTCAAATAAAAATTTCATCTTCTCAGCACTAAAAGAAATATTTCGAAAGCACTGTTGATTTGTGGTTATGAAAATGCGACAAAGTGTTAAGTTTCTGACCAGATAATAAGCATAAAGCCTGGGAATTTTAGCAGATCGTCGATGAGACTCATTATGATTTCACTTGGACAACTTCATGCTGAGATTGTGGGCAAATTAATGACTATCTGAGATGAAAATTAAAATATAAATATTAGTCAGATTTCCCTGGGAAGAAAAATGATTGTTTTCCCCAGAGATGATAAATTAATCTGAACCTCCAAATGATCAAATGAATTCTAACATTAATTCCTAGCCGAATTCTTCACACGCACAACAAACAGCTGAAAGGGTGACTTAAATATGCTAAGAATTCATTGAACTTTACCATATTAGATAAAGTTATAGTGTTGATTTGTGCGTGAAGGAGATTTTTTACGCGGCTCCCTTTCCAGTTGCCACGAAACAATTGCTATAAATAATCTGGGGAAAGGGGAGGAAAGGAGTGGAGAAGGAAGGCAAGTGATATTGAATAAATACAAAAAGGGGGAACACGCGCTCCCGAGGAACCCTTTCTGTTCCATCATATAAATGCATTTTCTCTCCACCAATATAATTGGAGTCAATTGAGGACAGAGACAGTATTCTTCTGAGACTTGTTGTTTTTCTCTCGCCACATTCTCGGGACTTGTGTTTCTTGATCTCTCTCTCTAAACTCTAAACATTCCAGCTGCGCGGGGCAAAAGTGCGGGGAGAGTGAAATGTTTTTTTTTAATTCCTTCTTCTTCGCCCAACGTAAATATTTTCATAGATAAACGATTGCGAGTAAAGTGAGGCAAAAAGTGGTGTAAAATGTGAAATTTCATCAGGAAATACCAAAGCGATGGAAAATAATTTATGAACTCGTCATCGAGAATTCTTGTCTTGCGAGTGCACAAGAAGTCGACTCAGAGAGAGAGAGAGAGAGGAAAAAGAAGGCATTCCAGTGTGAAGAGAGTGTTTAGGTGAAAGAAGAGTGGAAAAGGTAGGTGAACTGACTTATTTGAAACTGATCCATCGAAGAACATTTTGCCCTACAACATGACAGAAGAAGAAAAAACAGTAGAACAACTCAAATGAATTTTCCCGCCGATGGTGAGGAGTGATAAATAACGTTTTTCACAGAGGATTCGACGGAAAAATTCCACTGTGGAGGGGAAAAACGAGATTTTTCCATGTGTTCCATGTGAATTTATCACATACATTTTATAAATAGTTTAAGTCACATTATTTTCTCGTAATGTAATTTATCTCGAATGAGGGAGAAAAATCCCGCCTTGAGGCACAAACATCATCTTCAGAGACATGCTGAGCGACTGTGTGCATTTCATGGGCAGGGATTCCATGAGTTTTCAGTGAAAGTTTCACTGATCTTCCAGAATTGACTGATGGGAAGATGCAAGAAATATCCTTGCAATGAAATCTTTCATAGAAATTGACGGAGAAGTCAATGGTTGACTTTCATTTCTGGCATTTTCTGGTCTGTCTTATTAATTGTCTCAAATGAGCCTGTTGTAATTAATATTTCACAGAGAATGAAAGGGGTCATTGTTGATGTTCTTCGCTGATAAAACCGCGCGCCCGCCAAGAGGTCTCAAAGGCGAGCCTCGAGAGAGAATGTGTCCTCGAGAGAATCTCGCGCCACGTTCAAGGCGATGCAAAATTTTCACCCAAGGAGAGAAGATCGCGGCTCTTAATTCGGCATTGTGGGTGAAGAGTGTGGCACAAAGATGGTCCTCAATTGTAAGATGATGACACAATCTCTCACTCAATTAATTCAATTCACTCGCGGTACACCAATTTTTGAATTAATCCCCACTCGCGCGTCTTCGTCATCTCAAGCGATAATTCAATTAGCCAGTCGGGAAGCGATCAAGACAAATTTTCCCTCTTTCACTCCTATTGTGACTCTCAGACAGGAAGAATCATTTGCGCGACTCATGTGGGCACCAGAACACTGATTTTTGCCCCTGGGCAAGGCTTATTTTTCGGTAGAATTTGGGCGTCCCATAAATCATCTCAGAATATGCAAATTAATGACACACACTCATCATCATCATTGACCGAGGTTGAAATATTAACAACGCAACAATGAAATTCTGAGCACTCTGGCGGGAAAAATCAGAGAAAAGTCTTATCTCTGTTTCGGCTCAGCTTCAAGACTCGCTATCGTGAACCTCAATTCTGGGTTCATTTTAATCATGACGAAAGAATGTTGTGTGAATGAAGATAAAATGACCGTTTTATTAGGCTCCATTTGAACCGAAGGCAAATTCGTCACAGCGTGATTTTATCGCGTGTGTCCATAGAAATGATTAGAAATGTATTTAAAATGCCACTAGAATAGGCGCTCAGTGACGATAAGGCGATGTAAAGGAAATAACTGATAGTGAAATTACCGAAATGAAGCAGTGGATAAGAATCAAATGGAAGTTATTAGAATAGGGGAGAGGAGCTTTGTATCGAATCGAAGCAAAAACAAGAATTTCCCTATAGTTCAATCAAGTCTTTTTTAAATATTTTCTCTTCATCTTAATTGCAATTAATGATAGATTATTTATCAAACCACATAAGCTCTAACTTATGAAAAGACAAACTGTTCGAAAGTGCTCAAGTCTCTCTTACTCAATGTACTGCAAAACAGCCAAGGATAGGTGCACTCAGCGTGTCATTCTGCGTATAATCTCTTCTAATATTCCGCTTGTAAACCAGAAGCTCTTCAGCAGATCGCTCTCAATCATCTCTTAATGGTCTTGGAGAGAGAGAAGAAAAAAAAGCGGAATGAAGAAGAGAAGCTCGCCGAAAAACGTCCGCGAGGCAACATTTAATAATCTCGCCACTGTATCTGACTGAAGGAACTATTTATATCGCATCTCCTCTTACAAAATTGTTAAACAATTCCCCCATTCATTGTCTCATGGACAAAAGAGTCTTGAGATCGCATTCAAAGGCACTCTATCGCGTCGATCTAATAAAAATGCCTATTGATGGCATTTTCAATCTGAAAAATGAGGAAAAACACACATCGACTCTTTTGCATGGATATGAAAAACAACATTAGACACTCTGTGTTGATGGCTTTTTTCCCAATTGCGCGCCTCGTTGTGTGTGAGTGACAAACTCAAGGTTTTAGGGTCTCATTTTCGAGTGGCGCAATTCTTCCCATGGCAATTGAATGGGAAAAATCCCGTCAAATTGCTGGGCATGAATTGCCGTGAGAGCTTTTCTATCTGGTGGAAAAATCATCGATTTACACTAGGACTAATTGATGATTAGGAGCCTCAGCTATTCGACACTTTGAACCCGCGTATTGAGCGACAAATGCGTGGAAGTTACAGCATTCCACACATTTTTCCTCTCCCTCATATAAGGCACATGAATTAATTATTAATTCAACTTATTCCATTTCCGAGTGTCTCTCCACCATATCCACTTGTCTTGTGGTGCACTTTGTTGCTTCATTGTCTGTCAAATGAACCGCTAATAAAAATTCCTCACATTGATTTCTTTCAAGCACGATTCAAATGGGAAAAATATATTAACTACCAGAGATCTATTGCTATAGAGTGTCGCTTTAAATTACATGTCAAATAATTCATCAGAATTCTAAACGAAGTGAATTAATTGATGAAGCTTTTATGGTTGAATTTCTTAAGAGCATTGTTGAGAAATGTAAGTTAAAAATGTGCAAAAGTATAATGCGTTCTAAATATTTTCCCATCTTTTTGTATGTTATTAATATTATTTTGACCTAATTTATTTGGTGCTTTTTCTTAATTTCATTTGAAATTAAGCTTTTCAAATTATTTGTCTTGTTCTTTTG